GAATGTAGACAGAGTTGCTTCTCTATCCATCATCTCCATGAACCTTGACTCAGCTCCTGTGTCCCATACTCCCCCACCCCCCGTTGGAGCTGGGCCAGGACTGTTCGCAACCTTGAGCTACAGGGCTGGATAGTTACTCTCTTTGTCTCCTCAAATCACCTTCATGCCAGATTGCACGAGGGCAGATGCTTCCAGGTCAGTGAGAAGCTGAGCAGGGGTCCTCTGCCAGCCCCTCCCTCTCTGTCCAGCGTCCTCCGAGGCTGTGCAGTGCAGTGGAGGTGGGTGAAGGATGAGAAGGGAGTGAGCCCCACTGCAGCTCCGGTCGCCCTTCCAGCGTGAAGCCCAGGCCCTTTCCCTAAGACCTGTCCGCACACCCGAACTCATTCTACAGCAAAGCGGGTCCCGGTAAAGCTTATCAGCTCCTATCTCCTTTGTCCGAGACAAAGCACGGACGCCCTGACAGAGCTCTTGGAGCAAGGGGAAGCTCGGATGGGTCAGGGCCTGGTTGGGAGTGAGGCAGCAAGATGCCATCTGCGTTTATTTGAAGTCAGGCTGGATTGTAACCCTACTGGGGCAGCCCTGCCTGCCACGCCGGGGCATCTGGGCTGGAGGCCGTGGGGCCAGGGTCTCTAGCATGGGCGTCCCCTGTGGCTGGTGGCTTTCCCTCCCGCCCAGGGCTGGGTGCCTCCATTTGTCATCATGTGGGAGCTTGGGCTTCGGGACCAGGGCCTGCCCATGCCAGAGGAGAGTGTCTGTGCGGTGTGCAGGGAGGACCTCGCTCCTGACTTGTCTCCTCTCCTGGGGCCCCGTCAGCCTCCTCTGCGGGGGGATCCACAAGGCCACGGTCAAAGTCATAGGCTTTCTGCCCCCACAGTGCACTTTTAGCCCTCTTCCCATAACACATCGGGGCCAGTTCAATAAAAGAGTTCTCAGACACAAGGTGTCATCTTGCGGACATGGTGCATCGCTTCCACGGGTGGAACCCAGGACCGAATTGGGTGGCTGGAGGAGGGAGGAAAGTGTGGGCTGGTGGCACACAGGGCTGAGTCCTCCAAGGCCTGTCCCCCGGGGAGGTTCTGGAAGAGCTAGTTTTCTCCTTCCTCTAATCATTTATTGAGCATGTTCTAAGTGGCAAGCACTTTGTAGATGTTTTCCAGTTAATCCGCCTGATATTTATAAAGTGCCGACACTACCCCTATTTTGCAGCTAAGGCACCTGAGATTCAGGGAGGCGAGTATGCAGCTCACACTGCTGGTAAAGAATGGATCTGAGTGTTAAACCATATCTGGTTCCCCCCAAGTGCACGTTCTTGATCACTGAGTTACTGTTTCCTCTGTGGCCCAAGCTTCGAGGTGGGTGCTGCTTGTTGGAGAGGCGCTCAGAGGCCCCTTCCTGGCAGTCACCCTATTTGGGTCAGGACGGGGCCTTGCCGTCTTAGTCAAGTGTGGCCCCCCGCGACCTCAGAGGCAGGCCTTTGTGGGAAGGAGTCTGGGCAAACACAGGTGCGTCTCAGCCTTCGGGGCTTCGGGACTGGCTTCTCCAGGAAATGGGGCTGGCTGCTTTCAATAGCACTTTTCCTCTTGCAAAAGCGGTATCTTTTTTATCTCTTCCTCCTTCCTCTCACCCCATCCCCTCTCTACAACTGGGTGGTAAACAGTGAGATTTCATGGTCCCCCTAACTGTGAGGGTGCTGGCGATTCCCACCAGGACCCCGGCACCACTGGACCTGAAACTCTGAGCTGCCGGGGTGATCTACTTCTTGCCAAGTCAGCAGAAAACCCCAGGCAGAAGCTGAGGGTGGGCCTGGGAGGGAGATGAGGGGAAGGTATTGTGGAAATGCTGCTGCTGCTGCTAAGTCACTTCAGTCGTGTCTGACTCTGTTCGACCCCATAGACGGCAGCCCACCAGACTCCCCCGTCCCTGGGATTCTCCAGGCAAGAACACTGGAGTGGGTTGCCATTTCCTTCTCCAGTGTGTGAAAGTGAAAGTGAAGTCGCTCAGTCGTGTCCGACTCTTAGTGACCCCATGGACCACACAGCCTACCAGGCTCCTCCATCCATGGGATTTTCCAGGCAAGAGTACTGGAGTGGGGTGCCATTGCCTTCTCTGGTGGAAATGCTAAATGGTGATAAATGACCCTCATCAACGGAGAGTATGGTGACACCCAGGCAGAAGTGCATATATGGACTCATGACAGCTGGAAGAGAACAAGGAACCACAAACAAAATTATACTTATTGTAAAGATTTAAAAATTCTTTAATATTTTTTTGCATCAAAAAATTTACGGCAAAATGAAAAGAAAAACTGAGTAGCCTCCCATCCCTGCTAGGTTTGCAATGCCAGCATGAGAGGAAGGGGACCCAGTGAATACTTTCTTTTTTTTTTTCCTTTATTAAATTATTCATTTGGCTGTGCTAAGTCTTAGTTGCAGGATCTTTGATCTTCACTGTAGCATGGGGATCTAGTTCCCCAACCAGGGATTGAACCTGGGGCCCCCCGCATTGGGAGTGTTGAGTCTTAGCCGCTGGACCACCAGGAACGTCCTGTAACTACTCTTTCCTGTCCTGCTGTATCTTCTTTCATCTGAGCCAGAGGGTTCCTGGGGGTCCCTGAGAGCTGTCAGTCCCTTGCCCTGATACCTTTCAGGTGTGGTTGGACCTTCCTGGATCCTCTCACTTTGTATCGGCTCCTCACTTGCCCTTCACTCAGTCGTCTCATTTTCACATCCACCAGAGTGTCTGTTGCACAGAGGAAGGATTTTTGTTATTTTGCTCCGTGCTGCATCTGTAACTCTGGGCGCTGAGACTCTAGGGTGAACACTTGAGTCCAGGTGTGAAGCTGACCAGTGGCCACCTTGCCGTGGGATTAGAGCAATGATGCAGGAGATGCAGGGTGTCAGGGGCTGACACATCACCCCATGTGGTGGGTGGCTATCCGGAAGGCTTTCTGGAGGAGGTGATCTCTTAGCCCCGTCTTAGAAGAAGAGAGTGAGTTGGCCACGCCTGATATAGAGGACACTCCAGGCTGAGGAGTCAGTGTGTGTCTCCTGCCCACTTTCAGTCTGTGTGTCAGGTTCATCAAACTCTGGGACAGCCCATACACCCCTCTTGCCTATCTTGGGAGTGGGCTTGCCTGTAGAGTGGAGATGTGTTTGCAGGGAGAAAAAAGAGTATCCTGTGTTGCTAAGTGCCTAGTGAAATATGATTTAAGAATGAGGTCTGGACTTTCCTGGTGGTCCAGTGGATAAGAATCCACCTGCCAGTGCAGGAGACCTGAGTTCGATCCCTGGTCTCGGAATCAGAAGATCTCACATGCCTCGAGGCAACTAAGTCCCATGTGCCACAACTACTGAACCCGCATGCTACAACTACTAAAGCCTGTGTGCCCTAGAGCTGGCAGTGAGAAGCCCACACCCCCCAACTAGGGAGTAGGCCCTGCTCATCACAACTAGAGAAAGCCCGTGCACAGCAGCAGAGACCTAGCAGAGCCATAAATAAATAAGAAAATAACAAGAAAAGAATGAGGTCCAGTGTTGGGGGAATGTCATAACACAGCCTCCTCTCCCCTCCTTGTGCGACTGCTGTCTCCTCTTGCTCCAGGCTCTTCAATTCTTGCTTATAAACCTGCTCAGCCATTTCTTCTCCCCGGTCCTCACTGGTGTGTCATCCTGCCCTCCTCCTGCCCATTTTTGCCAGTTCATCTTGGGGCTCCCAAGGGCAAGAGGAAGTGGTAGTGGGGGTCATGGGTCTGGTCACCTTTCCGAAGAGGAGGAGTATTTCTAGCGTGGATGCTGCTATTTTGATGAATAGCTCACTCTCACCATTGCCACTTGGCAGCGTGGGTGGGGAGAGACCTGGCTGGCCCTGCTGGGGGTGACTGAATGTTGGCTCTTGAGCCCCTGTATAATCGACAGTACCATTTGGTGCAGAGAAGTCTTGAGTCGTCAAGGAATAGTTTGGATCTAAAGCAGGAGAGCTCCTCTCTCTGTTTGTGAGCTGGGGAGAGGCACTTGCCCAGGTTTTGTTTGGAAGGGTGAGTGAAACTGAAGCTCACACTTTTTATTTCTTATATTTGTTGAGTCACCTGTTCCTTGAGTGAGCCACCAGGAGGTGCTTTTGGCCTGGAACAGCTCGGTTGGTGACCTGCCTGATCATCTGGTTAAGACAGAATACAGACTTCAAGGTTGCTGTTCTCTCCCCACAGATTAGAAAATTACAATGATGATGATCTTTCATTTAGTCTCCTTACAGTCCTTTTTAAAAATTCTTGCTCATACTTTTGCAGTTTAAGGTGCCTCCACCTCCCACCCCCAGTATACACACATACACCATGGGGTACTTACCTTTCTCTCTCCTTATCCGGACACTGTTTCTCTGAACTCTGCCCCCAGTAAACCAGATTAATGCTCTCCATTAGCTAGCTGTCAAGTGGGCAAGGATTTAATAAATTTATTTACCCTAAGGTGTTAATGAGGCTTAATATTTTACCTCTGGGATACTCCACCTTGTAACTGTGACGATCGATACTAAGCTTTAAAATCTAAGAGGTAAACTGCCAAGAATAGAATCATACCACTTCTAAATGTAGGTGGGGATAATGGTTTTGGAAGAAGGTCGGGAGGGTAGACTTTAAAAGGAGGGTGCTGCTTTGTCCATCCCACTGTGCCCACTTGTGCTGCTGGCCCTGTAGGGTGACCCCTCAGCTATTGCCCTGCAATGAGGTGAAGGAGATTGTGTGAAGGTTGATTGAGGTGAAGGAGAATGATGCTGCGAGGTTTTGGAGGCTCTACTGAGTGGATTTCTTGCCCTCTTTGACCCCGTCAGATGTCTTAACCAACAAGGATGACAATACCAGCCCACGCAGCACCTCGCACAAATCAACTGGGAAAATGACATGAGGCAGCAGGGTCCCAGGGACACAATGAGGCGCTCGTGAGCGCCTCAGAGACCTTGTGGCTTGTGGGAGAGCCTGACCACTTGCTCTTCTTTCCTTCCTGCAGACGTTTACAGCATGGTGCAACTCCCACCTCCGGAAGGCAGGAACACAGATTGAGAACATCGAGGAGGACTTCCGGGACGGCCTGAAGCTGATGCTACTGCTGGAGGTCATCTCAGGTGAGCTGGACCACTGGTCTTGGGAGTGCCAGGGCAAAGGTGATGCCAGATGGGAAGGGTCACCATGGCCCAGGATCAGACACTGCCCACTGGGTTCTGCCACTTTGGGAATGCTGCCCCGACACCTCTGCTTCTGCCCCATCTTTGGTTGGGGCTAGCTTTCAAAAAAGTGGGAGATGGCGTGTGATTTCAGACCCAGAGACTGAGTTTGGGCTTGGCTCTGCTCCTGACCGTCTGTGTGTCCTTGGACAAGTCACTGCCTTTCTGCCTCAGCATCCTCATTTGCATAAAGAGCCATCTGAAGGTTGGTCTCTGGTGTCTCTGCTCCTCCAAGGCTAGAATTCTTTGGTTAGGAAAGCAACCACATCTGACCATCTCCAAATGCTGGCTCCTCTGCTACCTATCCACCTATATCAAGGTGATCCTAGTTCCTTATCTGGCTCCCAGTTTGGCATTTGGATGTCCAGTTATCTGGAGGGCTAGCTCCTCTCTCCAACGCCTGTCTCCACTTTCTTATAAATACCTTTCCTCCACCATCCCTTAAGGGTTGGAGGTCCTTGAGATTCTAGCCTTGGCTTACTCACTGGGCAGTCTTAGCTGCTTTCTTCACTTTATCTTCCATCTTGATGCCAGTGAGTCCTAAACTAGGGTTGGTCCAGCCTTCTCCATGGAACCTCCTCTTAAATCCTGAATTGCACTGGGCATCTCCACCCATTTGTGCCCCAGGCTTCAATACTGTGTACCACACCTGGCCCTTGCAAACCTCTTTTTGCTCCTGCAGTCTTCATCTTGTTCTTCTCAGCCTCATTCAGGAATCTTAGATGGCTCTTCCTTTGGCATTCAAGTTTCATTCATTCTGTTTTCTTCTTGTTCGCCTTCTTTGACCTCTGCTATGCAGACATCATTGTGCCTGCATCAGCTCTCACCTAGATGATGTCCAGAGGCCTTTGACCCCTCCTCCCAGCGCCCCCCTTCTTACTGCCCTCCATCACCCACACATAGCCAGAGGGTCCATCAAATAGCCCAAATATGGTTGTACTGTTCCCTGCTTGAAACTTTTCAGTGCCTCCCTGGGGCTTTGTACCTGCAGCTCACATTTCTTAACATAGCTAGCAGAATCCTTCATGAGCTGGCACCTGCTTTGTTTTCGACTATTCCCCAAAAGGTGTCAGACTTCAGACTCTGCCGCAGGAAGACATGCAGCCCTCCCCATGTGTGTGTCCCTGCTTTCTGTTTTCACTGCTTTTACACAAACTCTGGCTGGCTTCTCTGCCCCTTGGTGCTTTAAAATATTTCCACTGCAGGTGGGGGTAGGGTGTGTGTGTGTGTTCAAATGTACTTAACTTAAAATTTACCGTTTGGGCCATTTTTAAATGTGCACCGAGGCATTGAGTGCATTCACATTGTTGTGCAACCGTCACCACCAGTCCTCATTCCCAGACTTTTTCATCATTCCACACCAAGATGCCATGCCATCATTCAGTGCCAACTTGCTATCTCCTTCTCCCCCCAGCCCCTGCCGACCACCATTCCATATTCTATCTCTGTGAACTTGGCTGTTCTAGGTTTCTCATATGAGAAACCTACTAATCCTGTAGTATTTGTCCTTTTGTGACTGACTTATTTCATTTAGCATAAGGTGCTCATGATTCCTCCATGAAGTAGCATGTATCAGAATCTCCTTTCTTTTAAAGACCAGACAATATTCCATTGTGTACATATGTTCCACATTTTGTTTATTCAGTCATCTGTCATTCACACTTGAGTCGTTTCCACAGTTTCGCTATTGTGAGTAATACCGCAAAGAACATGGCTATACAGATTCTGTGTAAGTCTGTGCTTTCAGTTCTCTTGGGTATGTACCCAGAAGTGGACTTGTTGGATCCTAGGGTAATTCTGTGTTGAATTTTTTCAGGAATGGCCATATGTTTTCCTCTAACTGCCTTTTATTTATTTTTTTTTAATTTTAAATTTATTTTTTTAACTGAAGGATAATTGCTTTACAGAATTGTGTTGGTTTTTGCCAAGCATCAACATGAATCAGCCATATGTATACATATGCCCCCTGCCTCTTGAACCTTCGTCCCATCTCCCTTCCCATCCCACCCCTCTAGGTTGTTACAGAACTCGAAATGCCTTTTAGAGTGTCCTTCTTACCTCTTCCTCCAACATTTCTTAGTTTAAGCAAATCTGGCATTGCTCTTTTTCATTTTTTAAAACTCAGTTTAGGCATTTCCTCCAGGAAGGCTTCCCTGACCACCACCCCTTCTGTTCCTGCTTTGAGTGCCTGCCCTCCTCTGGGCTCCTGGAACACACCGTTGATTCCTCTGGCATGTCATCTGCCACACAGCAGCATCATTTTTGGCTCCTGTGTTTTCTCCCCACTTCACACCTGGCCTTGGAGGGCAGGGACAGACTTGTCTGTGTCCCAGGTGCTCAGACCTATATACTTGGCAGCTAGGTGATGCTCAGCAAATACTGGAGTGACCGAATGCCCAGCTGGGCTTTTCCAAACACCTACCAGGTGCTTGCACTGAACAGGCCTGTGCACGTCTGTGAGGTGGCTCTTCTGTTTCCTGGGGTGGGGAGAGATTGAGCCATTGAGATGATGCCTTTTCCTCCCTGAGTGTCTCTGGAGATGGTTAGGATGACAGGAAAAGGAAGGGGGCTGCCGCCTGCAGAGATCCTCTGAGTGTGGTCCCTGGACCACCCAGCAGAATCAGCAGGACTACTCAGCCACATGTGGGTTCCCAGACCTCCAAAGTCAGAAACTCAGGAGGAAGGGGAAGGGGGCCAGACACCTATAGTCAGCGGGTTCTCCAGGTGATTTTGTGTGGACCAAAGTCCCAGGACTTTGCTACCTCCCTTGTCTTGGAGGAGCCCTGTTCCAGCCAGTGAATGTAGCTGACAGTCAGGCTGGCGAGCTCAGGCTTAGCAGGACCTAAAGGCTGGGGCTCTAGTGGGAGCAGCCCTTGCTGGGGTGTGGGGGGAGGGGGCACAAGGTGCTGCCTCCATCCCTCCTATTGGAAGGGAGCCCTGGGGCATCTCATATGCCCAGGGGGGCAGTAGGGTACCTTCCCAGAGAGGGTGGGCTGTGGTCACAGCCTTGGGAAAGCCGCACTTGGGAAGTCTTGATTTAATAATAAAAACCCAGCTGGGCTTCCCTGGGTGCTGCCAGGCCAAGTGACATCTGTAGCAGGAAGTCTGTTCCGTGGAAGTCGGGTGGGGGGCCCTGGGCAGGGGGCCTCCTGGAGAAGTGCTGCTCTTGATAGGATGAGCATGGCCCAGCATCAGGGCCACCCTGCCCCTTGGGATCTCTCAGCCAGGCTGTTGATGTGCTCAGAAGTGGGGTGGAGAGCGTGCTGCTGGGCTGGGCTAGAGACTGCGGTAGGTGGAAGGTCCTGAGTTCTAGGATGGTGGTTCTCAGACCTCTTGGAGACTGAAAGCTGTGCTCCCCTTCCCCAGGTCTGGGCACACGTCGCACATACATATTTTTCAGATGGCTTCAGGGGATCCCTGGACGCCTCCTTCCTGTGCTCTGAGAGGGTATTTAGAGAATCAGCTTATCAACCCCTGCTTCCCCGAAGCTTCTGATCATAGACACTGAACAGCAGGAGCCCCCACTGTGGGAAGTGGGGGTCGGGGAAATGGCCACTGAGTGAGGGTGGAGGGTTGACTTGGAGCTGAGCCGAGGGTGCCCCTGGGCAGCAGTAAACAGACAAGACCTGTGGTTCTCAAGTGAGCGAGGGGCTCTGTGGGCAACACACAGGGAACTTTCCCAAAATACCCTAGCGTGACTCACACACTCTCCTGGATTGAAACAGTCTAGGCTCGGAGTTCAGGGCCTTTGCCAATGCTGTTCCTTCTGCCTTGATCACCGTTCCCTGCAGCCTGGGTCTGCCGGCCTCCCACTCAGAGGCCTCCCCTGACCACATCACAACTCTCTCACCCTCCTACCTACCTTCTTCCTCTGCAATCTCTTTTAAAGCCTTTGTTTTAAGCATTTCTCCTTTTTGGCTTTTTGTTCATTTGTGTATGTTGATGTATGTTGAAGGTCTGTCTCTCCTCCTGGACCGTAAGTCCATGAAGGCAGCAAGCTGTTTTGTTCACCCCTATATTTCTAGCACACCGCCAAGTCCCTTGACATATACTCAGGGCTTAATACAGACTTGCTGAGTGGCTTCAAGCAGTTTAGAGCTGAGAGTAGGAGAACAGTGTTTCACTTTGCATTGCTCTCTCTCCGTCTGTTCAGGTGAACGTTTGGCCAAGCCGGAGAGAGGCAAAATGAGGGTGCACAAGATCTCCAATGTCAACAAGGCCCTGGACTTCATAGCCAGCAAGGGGGTCAAGCTGGTGTCCATAGGAGCTGAAGGTGAGTAAGGCCTGCCCCCTGGCTGCCCCCTACCCCCATCCCACCCCTCTGCATCCAGCCAGATTTTCTGCCCCCACCTCTTGGTTCTCTTGGCCTTTTCTAGCCTGACTCCTAGACCCACACATCCATGGGGGCATTTGGAAGTAGGGCTTCCAGCATCTGGCTGGCCAGTGGATCCTTCATGTAAAGACAGCACTTTCTATCTAGTCTCTGCACCTTGGTGACTGTGACCCCTACTCCCCCCCGCTCCGCCCCAACCGCTGAATCCTAGCGCTGTGGGATCTGTGTGTGTGGACTGCCACCTCCCCCTTCTGCAGGCCTGGCTGTGCTCCCCTGTCCCAAGCACAGAGTTCTGTGGTCTGGGGAGAGTGTGTGGACACTGGTGTGTAGAGGGAGCCCCTGCAGGATGGCTGTCCAGAAGGCTTTAGGAACTTTTTTTTTTGGCTACACTGCAAGGCATGAGGGATCTTAGTTCCCGGACCAGGGATCGAACTCGTGTGCCTTGCATTGGAAGCATAGAGTCTTAACTGCTGGACTGTCAGGGAAGTCCCAGGAGTATTCTTAATAACATTTCACTGCAGAGCAGCTTTTTTATTTTTTTCCCTTTTACTTAAGAAAAAAAAGTTGTTTATACACCTGAAACTAACACCAGATTGTAAATCAGCTATACTTCAATCTTTAAAAATTGTTTAAAGTTCAGTTTAAACCATTATTAGCGTCTTCTTAATGGTTAGAAGGAGGTGGCACAGTTTCTTGTGTGCGTTTCTGAAGGACTTGGAGCGGGTCAAGGTGATTAGAATACCATAACCAGGCTCCATGAGGACTGCGTCCCATGGATTCATCAATGGATTGGGCACCTCTGTGGTGCCAGAGATTAAAAGGGAACAGTACACAGTCTCCATTCATTCATTCATTTATTCATTGTAGACATAACCTTGATTGTGATTACTGATCACTTGTTCTGCAGCAGGCACTCTACTAAAGCCCTTTGTACGAGTGATCTCATTTCATCCTCGCCATAGCCCTATGAGATGGCTCTAATTGTTATCCCCATACAAAAAGAAAACATGTGCCTAATGAAAATTAACTTGTCCAAAGTCCCATCTTCAGCAAGTGGTAAAGCTGGAACTCAAATCCAGGTCAGAGTGACACCAGAGAAATGCCCCAGAGGGTGGCCTTTCCTTACAGAGGGTGCAGGGTGTTGTTCCAGTAAATCCATAGCAGCTGATCTTTTTCTCTGGTTGATGATATCTGAAAGTCCTTCTTTTTTTCTGAAAATTGAGGGACTTGATGTAGCAAAATCAAACTGAGAAACTTGAGCACAGGGGCTGGCAAACTGCGGTCTGTGGGGTCAAACCTGGCTGACCCGGGCTTTTGTAAATATTGGAACACGGCCACACCCCTTTGTTTACATATTATTGGCTGCTTTCCTGCTGCAGGCAGAATTGAATAGTTGTGTCAGAGACCATATCCCTGCAAAGCTGAAAATATTTCCTATCAGGCCCTTTACAGGAAAAGCTTGCTGACCCTTGCCTTATCAGGGACTCAGGCTAGTACTTGAGGTCATTGTGGGTGGTTGCCTTATGTGTCCCATCCCCTGAGCTGTGAGGCAGGGATCACATCATGTCTCCTCCGTCCTTGTGGCCCCAGCTCCCAGCGGCATGATGCATACAGTCAGTGCTCAGTAAATGTTTGAAGGGCTTGTGTACAGCAGGGTACAGATAAAGAAAAGAATTGTTTGTTCTCTTAGGGAGGAGTCAAGACTTGGCAGAACAAGTTTCAGCCAAGCAGGGATGGGAAGCCAAAGAAACTACCACTCTGGTGGTCTGCTACAAGCTCAGATGTCCCCTGGGGCAGGGAAGTAGGGGATATGTGAGGTGGGCCAGATGTGCGAGGTATGTGACAGTAGGGATGAGTGGGGAGTGTGGAGAAGTGGGAAAAACATGTCCTTCTAAGCGGGGCAGCTGCCGTGTGGATCTAACCAATTGTTGCTGAGTGGGAATAACATATCCACTGTTGCCAGATGTTCTGATTTTTCAAAAGAAGCCAGAAATCCAGATTTTTAGAAAGGAGAATGTAGCAACTACCATAATCTATATATATGTATATCCGGGGAGAGAGAGAGAGAGTCCCAGGTGGTACTAGAGGTAAAGAACCTGCCTACCAATGCAGGAGACATAAGAGACTGGGCTCGATCCCTCGGTCTGGAAGATCCTCTGGAGAAGGGAATGGCTTCCCACTCCAGTATTCTTGCCTGGAGAATCCTATGGACAGAGGAGCCCAGCGAGCTACAGTCCCTGGGGTTGCAAAGAGTCAGACACAACTGAAGCGACTTGGCACACACACACACGTATATGTATATATAGTAGTAGTATTAGTTGCTGCATTGCAGGCAGATTCTTTACCATCTGAACCACCAGGGAAGCGTGTGTGTGTGTGTGTGTGTGTGTGTGTGTGTGAGACTGAATACTAAAAGGGAGGAAGAAAGGAGAAGATGGGCAAGCATAGCACTTGCTGAGGTCCAGATCTGTGGCTGGCCAGACAGGACAGAATGCTTTAACAGGCTTGTAGTATCACCACCTGTATTTTACAGTCAAGGAAACGAAGGCTCAGAGGAGTTGCTCGAATGGAAGTGTGTAGTATGTTGACCACAGGCTCTGGGCCAGATGGCTTCCATTTGGCAGAATGCAGATTAAACCCCGGGGGTTTGGACTCCAGAGCTGAGGTCTGAAGCTCTCCAATCACCAGGGCACTGCTGCTTCCTCTGCAGGGGTCCAGGACAGAACCTTCACGTCTGGTTTTCCTCAGCTGTGAAGTGGCGGGTCACACTGCCTGTGTGGTCTCAACAGAGGGGTAATGAGCACAGCCAGACAGGGGCATAGACTCTAACCATCACCTCTGTTCTCCCAGGTCACTTAACCTAGCTGGCTGGAGTTTTCCGGTTCCCTTGACACAGACCTTGCTTCTCCAAAGATTTCTAAAGCTGCCTTTGAGATGAGACATTCTGAGCCTTCCTGCTACCTTTAGGCCAAGACTTCCCTCTTTGAAATCTTCTCTCCCATTTTAAGCCAATGCATTAATAATAACCTATATGGGAAAAGAATCTGGAAAAGAATGAATGTCTATGTGTATAACTGAATCGCTTTGCTGTACCCCTGAGATTAACACATTGTAAATCAACTATACTGCGATTAAAAAGAGGTCGAGCACCAAGATCATGCCAGGACGGTCACGCTGCTGAGCCAGGAAACCGGATGAGGCCCAGAAAGGGTTTTGTTTATTTTAATGAAATGAAGTTTGCTGCTGTAGACTATCAAAGACAGTGGAATGGATCACCCGGAAGGAGCTCTCCTGGGGCTGGGGTGGGAGGAGACATAGCCATTTATCCTGGCAGGGGAGCCTTGGGGACCAGATTTGGGCCCCAGTGGAAGACCCCAGACCTTTGAAGGATGATCATGTGGGGCAAGGTCTTGACTCTGGCTGATCGTGGAGGGAAGAACTAGGCCTGGAAGGGAGAGCCTGTGGGCAGGCTGACTGTGAATAACATACAGAACCTTAGGGGATGGAGTGGGTGTTCTGGGAAAGGCATCGGTTCCCTGACCCCGCAGATGTTCAGATGGAGGCCGGAAGCAAGGAGCATCCATGCCACAGGAGAGGTTAGAATAGATCCATTTCTTGTGTGATACTTGATTCTAGACTGTCTAGACTTCATGGGATGGGGACTTGACCTGGGTGAGTGGTTGGGATTTAACCAGATGAGAGCACCTGAGAAGGAATTTTCATTTTAAAATCTAGAGGCAGGGAAAGCCTGATAGCTTTGGGTGCCAGAGCCTGGGAGTGGGCTTGATGATTTAGCATCTGTCCTTAGGTTGGATGGTGGTCATTGGTCTGGGCAGTGGTGACCCCCCCGGGGTGGAGGGTCTAGTTTTCCTCCACATGGAGTTTCTTCAGCATCATTGATTCTGCTGTCTGAATACTGCCTATCTGGAGTGGGGCCAAGAGAGAGGCAGGTTCTGAGTAAAAGCAGGATATGAACAGCTTCATAGGTAGCTGTGGTCTAGGAATGGCATCTTCCCACGCCCACAGCAGACATTTGTTAATCTGTCATCATGACTTTTCCCCCAGGGGCCCGGTTGCAGCCGTGGCACCCTCCTTTTGGACTCAGCCTGTCAGGCCATAAAGATGCCTGTGAGATGGACAACCTTACCCCAAACATAGAGATGCCTAATGAAAGGATCCATTCTGGGGAGGGTTTTCGAGGGTTAGCGGGGCTCAGGTGGACACGGGGGATGGGGTGGTGCATGGGCTCTTAACTGTACACAAACCGCTCTCTTTGCCTGTACTCGGCTCCTCTGTTTTCTGGCATGAAATTGCTTCCTTGGTAGGAGTTGAGAATTCAGTAAGAAAACTCCCCAGGGGTTGGGTATTTTTGGAAGAGAAGAGAAGTAAGTTGGCAAGACCCAGAGAAGAAGCTGTCTTGTCTTCCTTGGTATTGGGAGGACCCTGAACTCAAGGCCAGCAGGAAGCTAGATTATTTAGCCTTTATGCTGGCAAAGACCAAAGGCAGGAGGAGAAGGGGGATGACAGAGAACGAGATGGTTGGATGGCATCACTGACTCAATGGACATGAGTTTGAGCAAGCTCCAGGAGATGGTGAAGGACAGGGAAGCCTGGCGAGCTGTAGTCCATGGGGTCACAAAGAGTCAGACACGACTGAGTGACTGAACAACAAATGGGGGTGGGTGGGTACACATACACACCCCTCCATCCCCCAGGTCAAGAGGGACTGGCATTGCAGCCTCTACTCCTAGAAAGGCTTTACCATCTGGAGTTTTTACTTGATGTTAAAAAAAAATTTCTCCTTGATTTGAGATGGTGTCCATAAAATTTAATACCTGATTTTTGTCTTCTGTAATTACAAAGATTTTTACCAAATCATCAAAAAATTATAATTATGATTTTGAATGGCTGTGCTAATTACCTGATTGTTGAGCAAAAGTGTGCTGTGTTCCAGATCTGCACCCAGTCCTAGAGAGGCTTGAATGCTGTTGTTTTCTCTGCCCATTCACACACCCGCGGTTAGTGTCCTCTAGTCATTCGTTCGTTTAGCAGATGTTGATGGAGGGCTTTTTCTGTGCCAGGCACAGTGCTGGGCTCTAAGCAATGCTGTAAAACAGAGTACATCTTTGTCCTCAGGGAGCTTATGTTCTAGAAGAGGGAGAAAGAAAATACACGTATCAGTTGGAGTAAAGAGGGAGATCCAGGGAGGGCTTGGTGAGAAGATGAAGGAGGGAGGAGACAGGAGGGAGGTGAGGGATATCCTGGGAGAGGGGAGCAACAGGGAGGCCGTGTGACTGCAGGGGTCCCAGAGGCCCCACCAGCCACTGCCTTTGACGCTGAGTGGGGTGGAAGCCTTGGACGTTTTGAGCAGAGGGAGTGACAGGGTCTGGGGTTTACTTGGTCACGCCTTGTATTTTGTACCTTCACAGAGTTTCCAGGGTGGGGTCATGATAAGTAACCTGGCAGCAAGTGCCTTTACACACTAACCTTACTCTACGTTTCACACCTCTGGCTGACTGGGGCTAGAGAGAGAATTTTACTCTCAAAAAGTTGAGCAACTTCAATATGCCTTGCTCCCTGTTGACAAATGATTTCCCCAAGAGGTGTTTCTTTAAAACGAATTTATACTTCTAGCCACAGGGTGATAGATAGCCACATGGCTGTCTATCGTTATATCGATACCATCATCACCATCGTTATGTGTATTTGCTTTGTTCATTTAATAGCTGGGAAAATGATATATCTCTGATTACAAGTGAATTTGACATTCTTATAAGTTGGTTGTTTGTATTTTGTGTTTTGTGAAGTGTCTATTCATGTTTTTTGCCAACTCTTGTATTATGAATTTAGACTTTTTTATCTTATCAATTTATGTAAGCACTTTGAATGTTACAGATGCAAAACTTTTGGGAGTCACAAGTGAAAGGGCATTTTAACCATAGCAAACCTTTAGGAGGGGCTTCCCCGGCGGTCCCGTGGTTAAGACCCCACGCTTTCACTGCAGGGAGCCCTGTTCAGGGAACTAAGATCCTACATTCCATGAGATGTGACCAAAAAATAAAATAAAAAATATTAAACTTTTAGGAACTGATTCTTGACTGACTGACTCCACTTCCCCCTCAGCATGCTCTGCAGAGTGTGTGACAGCTGTCTTAGTTGTTGAGGGGGATGGTTGCATGCTGCTGCAGCTCCCTGTCTCTCTAACCGAGTTTCTCAAACTTGGGTCATTGCTCTGCTGATGCCTAGAATTCTGGGAGGGGCATTTCAGCCCCCCTCTTAGCAGGAAGAATCACATCCTGTCCCATGCCCAAAGTGGACACTGTTCTTCCTTTGCTGAGAACCCTGGTGCAGGCTCAGCAAGTTTGCCCCCACGCTGCCCCCCCGAAACAGCTGTGGGCCAGGCATAACTGCTCAGTGCCTGTACCTTGTCGGTCATAGAGCAGCATGCAGTTTTGCCCTTTCTTTTGTGGAAGGGGATGAGGTATTAGAGTTAATTTCCTTATAAGAATCCACTCTTGTTTAAAAGGTTTGTGGGAAGCAAACCCAAGTGGACATTGGCTCAGGGGATCAGGGGTCCTTGGAAGTTGCCTCTTCTCATGGTCTTGTTGGGTGTCCCTCAAATCTACTGTTGTCGGAAGGGAAAAATGAGATATTCTTTCAATGCCTGAGTCTTAACTGAGAGTAGCTCATCACGGGGCCAGGTTACCGTCTCCTGACCTGGGAACAGGAAAGGTAAGCGGTCTGTGTTTGTTACCTTCACAGTCTCCAAGCCTATAAATGACTACATCTTTTAGGCTCCTTAAAGACAGGAATTTTTAATTTTTGTTTGTCCTGCCTCTAAACCTGGGACAGGAGAAAAAAAAAACTTCATAGAATTTATAGCATTTTTAAAAAAACCTAGAAGGTGCTGCTTAGACTAAATTTAGTGGGGTATCTCTTAATTTTGATCTTGAAGCTGCTGTTTGTTTTTTTATGAAAAAATACCCAAGTTATGGCATCATGAACTTGATTTGTGAGTTAGCGGATCCTTCTAGTAGCAGTTTATAAATCTTTGTCAGGTTGGTTAATTTCTGTTGCCTGCACTGACTTCCCAGGTAGGTGGATGGCTGTTCTGAGATCTGTGCTTGCCCAGATGTCCTCCACTCATGGAGGCGCCAGGACATTTGCGATGGCATAGAAGTCCTTTTCCTCTTCTCTGTTAGGCTTGGGGACACTGCCCAGGTTTAAGATGCCCCCTTCTCTGTTTCCTTTCCTGTTGTACCCAGTTGAACTGACCACACTCTCCCGGTTCCCCAAGACACCCCCGAATAGACTTCTGTCCTGGGACCTGCGACGTGTAATTGTGCTGATTTTTTGATTTCCCTCTAAAAGTGGAGTGTGTGGCCTTTGACCTCCTAAGTGGTGCACAGAGTGACATGAGCACTCAGGAAATGTGACCTTTGTCCCTGCTGAGACCCATCCTAACGTGTCCTGCTGCTGTTTCTGTAGAAATCGTGGATGGGAATGTGAAAATGACCCTGGGCATGATCTGGACCATCATCCTCCGCTTTGCCATCCAGGACATCTCCGTGGAAGGTAGGTCTTCTGCTCTGCTCCATGCTGTCCCCAGGCTTCCACCTCTCCCAGGCCTTCACCATCACATCTTCCTGATCCATGAGGCAAGAGGTCCTTCATCACAAGCTGCATCCTGGGCCGCTTATCCATCAGTGGCATCCTTGCTCTCCTCTAGTCTACAGACAAGTAAAAACTGGAGTGCTGGCCTCTATAGTTGCGTTGGCCTCCTCACTTTGAGAAAGCCCAAGATGGCTGTGGGGAGGTGTATTGGAACCACCCCACCCGGCTCTTGGGTTGTTAAATCCCAAAGAGTAGGGAATAGCAGTCAGGAGAGCCATGAGAGAGACAGGGCCTCCACTTTGCTCCCATAGCACCCTCTGGCGGCCACCTTGCAGGTCTGCAAGGGGCCGCCATGGTCTGGGGTTGTGCTCTGTCTAAACTTTTGGTTTTACACTCCCGCAGTTTTTCACCTTTATGTCTGATAGGTATGTATTTATTTTTCAGTAAATTATATTCCTGTATTTCTATATCCTGGAGAAGGAAATAGCAACCCAATCCGGTATTCTTGCCTGGATAAATTCCCAAGTACAGCGGAGCCTGGCAGGGTACAGTTCACGGGGTCGCAAGAGTCAAACATAACTTAGCGACTGACCCCCCCCCCCCCACCACTATTTCTATATCAAACACATCAAACCAAATTTTTAAAAATGAGATGGAGGTATTTTTAAAATTCATTTTAATGGCCTAGAAATTAGTTTTTAATGAGAGCAGTGTGGATTAAATTGCTTCGTTATGGGAATCTTGGTTTGACACTTAGTGAGAGAGCAATGTGAAGGTCTTAAGTCTGGTTTATAGATACCAAACTTTGGTTTATAGATACCAAACTTTGGTTTAGGGCTGAAGTGACTAAAAAGATACCCACAGTAGTTGCTTAGGGCTCTTGTTAGTGATAATAGATACAAATCTGGTTTTCAAATAGCTTTCTTGATGAGTTTATTCTTTTGGGTAGACTTCTTGTCAGCTCTGAGTAAATTGTCCTTTTCAGCTTGTAACTGACAAAGAACTTGAACTAAAAGCGGAGGCATTAGCTTTGAAGATTTTTTTAAAAATCTTTTTCTTGTACTATATTATCTTTGCAGAAGGTGTTTAGCGTCATTTTAAAGTCCATTTTGTGAACTGAAGCCCACTTCCCTGAGTACCGTGAGCTGCTGTTCACAGATGTGAACACATGGGGGGCAGTGTGGTTTGCAGCCCTCCTGGGCCGGAAGCTTCTGGGGCCCCCTTAGATACCTGCCTGCCTTACTGACACCTGTCCGCTTTACACATAGCAGCAGTGTCGATCCATGCATTAGGGTTAGGGTTAGGGGGTACCCACCTAACAAGGAGACCTTGTTTTTTCTTTTTAGATGAACAGTAAATGTGACTAGGAGTCCTAATGCTTTCTTCTTACGTGACTGTGCGGTCCACAGGGCACACGGGCCCTCTCTGTCTGAAGAGTCCTGGATTTCAGATTTCACAGACCAGTCAACCCTTCCTCCCCAGAGTGGCTGCCCGACAGAGGTTGCCAACTTAATTTTGTGTTGTTGCCATTTCTGCATAAAAGGGAGTGAGGGGGAGAGAGTCTGAAAGTTTGAAAGGCCATTTTCTCATTATTTTAATGTATCAGGTGGCCAGTTCTGAAATGATCCCTGGCTTACTTCTCTGTGTCTCAAATAACGTCTCAAACTTTGTCCAGGAAATAGATTTGATGGCCTCGTAGCAGCAGGGTTGAAATCTAGGAGTCTCTGTGTAGACCCCCGTGTGAAAGAGCATGGACCCTGTGGTCACAGGGGGGCCTCAGGAGCCCTCACCCTCCTTCCACCAAGCCAGCCTCTGACCTCTCCCTGTCATCCCCTTCCCCACAGAGACTTCGGCGAAGGAAGGGCTTCTCTTGTGGTGTCAGAGAAAGACAGCCCCTTACAAGAACGTCAACATCCAGAACTTCCACATAAGGTGCGTGGCTGGGGGCTGAGGGGCTCTTGCAGAACCTGAGCTGCTTCCCCCAAGGCCCCTGGGGCCCCCTGGGCAGGGTCAGTCTCTGCTCTGGATCAGAACACAGAGCCTTGGGGAAGGAGTCGCTTTTCTGGAAAGGGAGCGTCACCCTTCGAGGCCCGCTCCATCCTGGCTACTGCCTGATACATCCTGGGTTGATGCTGTTGGAGCCCCCTTAGGAGAGTGTCCAGGGAGTTCCAGCCTGGGGCTCTGAAACAGAGCAGACGGGGGCCCCAGACCTCGGTGGGGGGCTTGAGTGGGACATGACAACTTGCTGAGCCCCATGGAGCCTTCGCGCAGTGCCTGGGATTGTGGCAGGAAGCAGGTTCCTTCCCCTGCTGTGTTCTCCCAACTCTTGCTCCGAGGAGTTGTGGGTTCATCTTTGGAAAAAAGGAGACCCCTGCCTGGCACTTTGCCCTTAGTGCTTGGCCCCACTCACCCTTTGGCCACCCCCCACCACCTCTCCCCTGGGCAGCTGGAAGGACGGCCTCGGCTTCTGTGCCTTGATCCACCGACACCGGCCTGAGCTGATCGACTACGGGAAGCTGCGGAAGGTTGGTGTGCTTGCCTGACCCTCCCACCCCTCCCCCGCCAGCTCCCATCCAGCTGGTCCCCCTGGGGTGGGTGGGGAAAGGGCGGAACTGGGCCCCCTGTTCTGAGAGCCCACAGCCCAGCGTGAGAGCGTGGCAGTCTTCTTAGACCAGCCGAGGAGACGGCCCCTCTGGAAACAAGAGGAAAACACCTTCCATCAGGGCCACTTGAGTTTATATGTGCTTGCCGAAATGCCCAACCTGCCAGGCAAAGTATCAAAAGCACCACAGAAATTCTGTTAGGATGCTGAGATACTAAGTGGCATTTCCCCGTTCTGATTTTCTGGGTTTCCCAAGGTACATGTGTTACTTTTGTAACTTTAGATACTGCATGTCCTTGGCGACGTGTATCCCAGCCTTGTCGGAGACTTGCTGCACAGTCCTGGGCAGGTCCCCGCCAGGGATCTGCTTTCCCTCTTGCCCGAAAGTTGGAGGGGATTTTGTTGCCTCTTGATTTCATTTGTGCTTTTGGCGTGAAGCTGCTGGGGGATTTTCTTGAGCGCCTGTGTTGAGGAGCAGAGAGATGGGAGCTGTGTGTCTAGCCTCGTGGTGGTTCTTAGCATCCAGGCTGGTTAAAGGACACTGGCCTGACCTTGGAGAGGGCCGTCCGGGACACTCTAGACTCACCACCCTCCTCAGCCCATCCTGGCACGAGAGGCCTCATGGAGCAGGCATCCTGGGAGAGACCACGGTGGTACCCACCCTACCCCACCCCAGGAGATGGTCTGGAGCTTGGGTTGGAATGTCCCCTGTCGGTGCTTGGATCTCCTGACAAAAATGGCTTCTAGGAATGATTGTTCTGGTATTTGTCTCCTTGACCTCGATACTTGGAGGGTTTGGTGTTCAGCCAAGTCCCCTGCCTTCCCTGTGCCCCCCGTGGCCACGGCAGGCTTGATGTTGCAGGTGGAGGAGCTGCTCTGTGGCATCAGACCCTCTGTTTGGGGAGTGTATGTGTTGGGGGCTGCTGAAAAGGATTTATGAGGGAGGAAAGGAGTCGGGTGGAGTTTCCCACCCCTTCCAGAAACCCTAAGCTGGGCCTGAAGCTTGAGGCTGGGCCCGCCTGGAAGGCGTGTCCTGGTGTATGTGGACAGGGGCCGGCTTACCTCTCGGGGGATGAGCGATCCCACTCTAATTCAGCCACTTTGCAAAGGAAAAAAAGCAATTTGAGACCCCTCCCACTGCCCCTCACCACCCCAGCTGAAAACTGTGCGGCCAAACCAAACAGGGTCCAAGGTGGGGGAATCCTGGAGATGGAGACTTTTTTAAAGGCGTCATCATCATAGTCCTCCCGGCGGTCAGCTGATGCATTGTGGCGACAGGAGTGCGTGTGCCTGGGTCCCTGCGTGGGGGGCTGGGGAGGCAGCACCCGGTTAATGCACAGCTGTTGCCCAGCCCTGTGTAAAGCGGGGCCTATGCTGACTGTGGCTCTTCAGTCTCACCCCACACACCCCCGCCCTGACCCCAGGAGCCTCAGCCATTCGGGGAGGCGGAGTCCAGGGGCCTTTGTCTCATCCCCGGCCAGCTCTCTCCCCACTCTCTGTCCTCTCTGTCTTTTCATTTCTCCTGGCTCATTTCTCTGTGTTTCTCTGCGTCTGTCTCTTTTCTTCAATTCAGTAGCAATAGTAATACTAGAATCCTAGCACAGACCTGTTCCCACTGAACTGTGGACTCTTTCCAGAAAGCACAGAGGTTGCCAGAGGCTCTGGTGCTTGGGAACAGGGGGGAGCCAAAGGCTCTGACCAGGGAGCTCTTCCTTCCTGCACCGGCTCTCGGTGGGTGTGGGGGCCTGATGATCCCTGGGAATCCGGCGGGGCAGGGGGGTGTGCACCCGGGGCCTGAGGATGGCCTAAGGCCTTGGACGGATATGACCGCTGCCTCTTGGCAGGGGTTTTCATCATTCTGAAAACTGTCAGAAACTTTCCCAGAAGGACTGCACCTTCTCTATTTTGAGCAGTTTCTTCCTGAAAGTGTCCCAAATGAATGGATGTAGCTTTTCGTCCCCTTTGATTCTCACCTTGGCAGATGCAGAAGCTGAGTTGCAGGCTGACAAAGCCAGTTTGCTTTAGGTTAGTCTCAGGAACCCAGAAGAGAGTGGGAGGTCCAGCCAGGAACTCTACCAAGTTGTGGTTTTTTTTCCACATTATATATATATATATATTTAATTTGGTACACTATACATAATATCAAAAGTACCACTTTTAGAGGGGTGGGAGGGAGGGGATATTTGTATACATACAGCTGATCCACTTTGCCATACAGCAGAAGCTAATTACAGCATTGTAAAGCAATTATACTCCACATTTTTTTAGAAAGTACCACTTGAAGCATTTTTAAGTGTACAGTTCAGTGATATTAAGTGTATTCACACCACCACCATCCATCTCCAAAACTCTTCATCTTGCATAATTGAAATTCTGAAGCCATCACACCATCACTCTCCACTCCTGCTTAATGTTTTTAAGGTTCATCTATGTTGTAGCACATATCAGGATCTCTTCTCTTTTTATCACAGAATAGTATCCCATGTCTATTTATCTGTCCATGAACGTTTGTGTTATTTCCACCTTTTGGCTATTGTGTATAATGCAGTTATGAACATGATATACAATTATTTGAGTTCCTGCTTTCAGTTCTTTGAGATATAGACCCAGAAGTGGAATTGCTATGTCATATAGTTCCATGTTTAACTTTTGAGGAACTTCCATAGTGTTTTTCCATAGCAGCTGTACCATTTTACAGTCCCACCAAACAGTGATTTTTCCACCTCCTCACCAGTCCCCGATAAGTTTTCTTGAGAAGGTAGCAGAAGCCAGAATGTAGTCAGAAGACTGTGGCTATTTGAAGGAGTCCCCAGATTTCATGGAATGTGAGCACCAAAGGGGCTGGAGAGCTCCTAGTCCAACTTTTGAGTAACAGATCGGGGGATTGAGGTTAGGTTATTTGCCACTCCAGCTGGCTGATGGCAGAGCTGAAACCAGAAGTCAAGATTGATGGCTCCCAGGCCAGTGCCCCTCTCTCAGCTTGCATTTCTTAGCAATTCTTTCTTGGGCTGCAGGCTAGTATCCTTCACTCTATTTCTTTGACAAAGAAACTGCAACTTGAAGAGAAAGATGGCATTTTAAGCCCCCTAGCTAGCAAGTCCTGGCCATGAGGCCAGACTTCTATACCCAAAGCTGGCCCCCGAGGACTGAACCAGGGAGGGGCCACAGCAGCACCCCCTTTCCCCCCAGTCTTGATGATCATGCAGGGGTGGGGTATCCAGAGACTTCTCGTGCTTCTCACCTGCCTCTTCTTCTCCCCTAGGACGACCCGCTAACAAACCTAAACACAGCTTTCGATGTGGCAGAGAAGTACCTGGACATTCCCAAGATGTTGGATGCGGAAGGTGAGAGGCCCTTTCCTCTGAGCCTTTGGCTTTTCTCCCAGCTATATCCAGTAGCTCAGGAGCTGGGCCTTGGCACTCTGAGGCCAGACGGGAGAAGGCCTGGTTCCTGGGATCTCTTCTGGGGAGCCTGGGGATCACTAGTCTCTTGGGGATTCCACAGACAGACAGATCTGGAGATCTGGAGGCAGAGGTGGTGGCTGGTGCTGAAAAGGGCATCCCGAGGGTGATGCTCATCTTGGTCTTGGAGTTGGGGTGGTGGGTGTCAGGGTGGAGCACAGTGGTCCTTTGTTGTTTAGGGGAGAGAAAAAAGCTTATTTACATGTGCTTCATGTACACCCATGGGAGCTTGCAGTGATGGGTAATTCAAAGAGATGATTTGTGTTTGAGGTCTATATGCATATCTAACTTCATAGCGGAAAGGGAGGGAGAGAAAGAACACTTAAGGGAGTGCTAATGACTTTTTGGAAAGATGAGTGGACCCTTAGGAGAAGAGATGGAAGATACAGTTTGTGACAATGTCTGTCAAGTTGTGGGGCCATTTTCAAATGTGCAAAAGCAGGGAGAATAATATAAGGAACTTCCATATACCCACCATCCAGATAGAACAATTATTGAGATTATGTCACATTTTTTTCTCTTTTTGTCTTCTTTGTTGAAGTATTTTAAAACAAATCCCAGATGTCATAACATCGCACTACTACATACTTCAGAATACATACCTTAACAATAGAAATATTTTCATTCTGTTTTTCAATCATAAAGTAATTTTCACACCAAGCAAATTGACGGTAATTCTTGGATACATCTGCCACTTGGTTCAAAATCAAATCTCCCCATTATTTCTCTTTAGTTGGTTTGTTTTGATCAGAGTGTGCATGTGGCATTTCATTGTTCTAGTTCTTGTATCTTTTCAGTCTGTAGCATTTCCGTCTTCCCTCCAATGCCTTTGGTTCCTGGCACTGAACTTGTAAACTGACGACCAGCTGTCCCGAGCACCCGTTACTCTGGTTTGTCTTGTTTCCTTTCTCAGGTACCACTTCACTCCTTCCTTGCCTCTTGTGTTCCTGTAAGTGGAAGTTGATGCCAGATGCTGGTTAGATCCAGGCTCAGCATCTTGGCAAGAAGACTTACGGTTCTGAGAGCTGCTTTTCCCATCACATCAGGGAGTGTATCATGTGTTCACCAGCTGGCTTTAACTCCAGCTTTTTCTTGACAGACATCGTCGGAACCGCCCGCCCGGATGAGAAAGCCATCATGACTTACGTGTCCAGCTTCTACCACGCCTTCTCTGGAGCCCAGAAGGTACCTGGGGCCCCTTGCTCCTTCTTTGCCCAGCGCACCTCATGCCTGACCCCAATCCATGCCCTCCCGCCCTTCCTCTCCCCGCCTCTCCTCGGCGACAGGGTCCGGACGCCCTTCAGTAGCGTCAGTCCCCACTGCCAACGTGGCGTGTCATTCTTGCTCAGTTCCTCTCCCCCCCACCCCCGCACCCCACCCCACCCCAGCCTCTCTGCTTTCTCTCATCTTCCTCTATCTGCTGTCTCAGAGAACACTGGGAAAGAGCTCACCTTCTGGGACCCAGATGGCAGACTTCAGCAGGAAGGGGGCGGCGTAGGTGAAATTAACCAGGAGGCGCCTGGAAGGCACCGTGGGCAGTAGCCCTCCTTGCCCACCTCTGTTGAAGCTATGGCTTTAGCAGAGCAGCAGGGTGGCCCTTAGGGAGGCGATCTGACAGAGGCAGCTCCTGTCTTCACTGACTTGTCCTGCAGCGGTGACACGAAGCCCCTACCTTTCTCCCACTCACGGCCGTGGTTTAGCCAATCTGTCCACAGCCCCCGTGGGCCTTGCTGCTGCTGCTGCTAAGTCGCTTCAGTCGTGTCCGACTCTGTGCAACCCCATAGACAGCAGCCCACCAGGCTCCCCTGTCCCTGGGATTCTCCAGGCAAGAACACTGGAGTGGATCGCCATTTCCTTCTCCAGTGCATGAAAGTGAAAAGTGAAAGTGAAGTCGCTCAGTCGTGTCTGACTCTTAGCGACCCCATGGACTGCAGCCTACCAGCCTCCTCCGCCCATGGGATTTTCCAGGCAAGGGTACTGGATTGGGGTGCCATTGCCTTCTCCGCCCTTGGGCCTTAACACCTTCTATATTTTGCCCAGGCCCCCCATGCGGGGTCAGTACACAACTTCTTGGGGGGGAGGGAGGGAAAGGGTGGGCAGCTGTGGACCCTGCCAGTGTCCTGACCCAGTTTTGTTCAGGGAGGTCTGAGGTTCAAGTCCAGTGGTGCAGGTTCCGCACTCAAACCATTAACACTGAAGATTTGGATATTTCTGTTAGCAGGCAGCTCATGCCCCTCCCCTAGACCCCCCTCACAGGCAGGATCCCAGAAGCACAGCATGCAGGTTGCTATGGCCACAAGCAGCAGGCTTGACCTTATCAGCTCTGGGCCTTGGACCTGCCTCACACTCGGGCAAATTTCCTGTCCTCTGCATGGAGTTTGAGTGACCTGTTTTGAAATGCATGATGGGGTGATCCCCCTGACCCCAAGCCTTCCCCGGCCCCCCTCCCCTCTTTGCTCTTTTAGCCTGGGCCCTCTCAAACCCCGCCCCCTTTCTCCCACCAGCATCTCATTTTCTCTTCCTGTCCATTCCCTCAGTGTCCGTCTGTCCTGTGCGCGCTCTGTCCGTCTGTCCTGTGTGCCCTCTGCCCACCACGGCTGTTTGGGTTGATTCTGTGCTGTGCCGCCGCCTCCTTTCTCCTCTCAACCTCTTCTCCTTCTCTGTGCAGATGTGTAGGCACGCTAAGGCCGGATGGGAAGGCCATGTGACCTAATGTTTCATGTCACTGCCTCGCCTTCTCGGTGCGCAGAAGGTGAGCTCTCCCTCGGCCTCGCCCACTCTCCCAGCGCCCTTCTGCCCACCTCTTCCATCCTCTCCGGATACTCCAGCAGCAGCCCCTTGGAACTGCGGCCCTGGAATGAAAGGAGGGATTAGAAAAGATCCCCCCCACATACAACCCCGACCTCCTGCAGGAGGGCAGGATGCTCTCTGAACTTTGGCCAGGACACTTAAAGATGCTGGGGAATGCCCGCCTCTGGATGGCCTTGGGCATCTCTGTCCCCACACACTGGGCATAATGGCTGCCACAAACAGGAAAGAAGTCTGTGGTCTCAGCTCCTTCCCTAGACTGGGTTGAAAGCCCTTATCCCAAGCAGTGCAGTTTGGGGCTCTGCTTGTTCTCATAAATATTGAGGACCCTGTCACTTCTCTCTCTCCCTCCATCTACTTGAGCAAGACCACCCTCTCAAATTACCCAGCAGTCAGGGCAGGGAGAATTCTTTTACCTCCCTCCTGGTGTCCAGGCCCTGGGCTTAAAGTCCTGCCTGATCCTTCCCACCCATGTCTGCCAGGGACAGTGGTGCAGGATGCACACTGTACAAGGGTGCCATGTGTACATCATAGATCATGAAGATTTGAATATTTGTTACTAAAATAATCCCAGAAATGGCACTACAAATGTCTTCTAACAGAATGAGTATGACAGTTTTCTAATAGAAGTGCCTTGGGGGAAAGGTGCCTTAAAAAAAAAAAAGCATAAAAGCATGAGGTGAGCTAGCAGCAACCCCATCCCCTGCCTGGATGGGCACCCATGACCTTCTTCACTTTCCTTCCAGGTCTCATGGGCGCTGCCTGGCAGGAAACAGCCCTGCTTGGAGGCTCCCTATTCTGGGCGTCCCTGCCCCCCCAGGAGGCCCAGGCCCTTCCATCCTCTTCTCTGGTCTGCATCGTGCTTCTTCTTTCTCTTTGTCCCATCTCTGCTGCTGCTCTTTCTTGTCAACTTCTTCTGGCCCCTCTTACACCCCACCTTTTAGGCAGGATGTGAGCACCATCTACCTACTTGCCTCGGGGGACCTCCAGCCCCAAGAACCGCATGAAGTCCTGCCCGCACCCAGAGCTAGGCTGAGCTCCCTGCCATGGTCTTTCCAACTCTCCTTCCGCCAACTCCTCCTCCTCTCCTGCTCTTGCAGGATTCTGTCCTGGGCTTCATGCCTGCTAACACTGGCCTTCCCTGTCTCTGGAGCCTTCCCTGTGTCCTGGCTGATGATGCTCGGGAGGGAGCGTGTGCCTGTGTGGGTGTGCGTGCGCATGCGTGTGTGTGTATGTGTGTGTGTGTGCACACCTGTGTAGCAGCCTGCTATTCTCCCTCCCAAATCTCATACCACCTCCTCCCCATGCCCTCTTCCCTCTCACTCATCCCTGCTGCAATCATTTCATGCTACTCTGGTCCATATCTGAGGACAGGGTCATCAGCTTGGGGGGTATGGGGCTGGGGGTGTGGGTGGTGCTCCTTTTGTGTCCTGGCTTGGGAGCCTCACCCAGAGCTGCCCCTCCCAACCCACTTCGAAGGATTCAGGCAACTACTTAGAGCTGAGCAGGCCAGTGGGCGGGGACTCTTCCCCCTCCCCCATGGAAGAAGGAGGAGTCTTTCCTACCCTCTTCTTGTCTTGACTGTCTTATGTCTGAAGCCAGTGTGGGAGAGTCTCCTGAAACCCATGTCCGGTGCCCTGCATCCTCTTCACCGTCTTTCTCTTGTCAAGCCTTGGGCAGTGGAACTAGAAAGGCAGCTGAGTCTGATGCACGTGTGTACATGTGTTTGTGTGCCTGTGTGGATACGAGTGTGTGTGTGTGTGTGTGTGTGACTGCCGTTCCTAGTCAGATGAGGACCAGCTTCTGTCTGATGGATTGGTTTTGGTTCTAATTCTTCCTCAGCCTCTCCTCTCTTTTCCTCTTCTCTGTAGGGATTTAGAAGGTGTTGTGAGCAACCAGATTTTGTTTTTGTTGCTTCAATGTTCATGGCCTGTGAACTGTTTCTGAGAAATAGCGCTTCAGGGTGTGAACTAGATCTGCTGTGGGGTTCTGGATGCTCTTACAAGTAGATGATGCTGTTTGCATCCTTCCATTTGTCATCTGTCGGTTGTGAATCTTCTAAGGGAAAGAAAGCCTGTACCTGCCCTCAGGGGATTCATAGTCCATCTGGGAAAACTTTTAGTAAAAGAAGCTCATGATGCTGCAGTCTAATCTCTGCTCTGCTTCAGACCTGAGCAGGGGAGGGGGTGCTGCAGGGCTGTGGGACACAGAGGCTTGCTTGCTTGCTTTCTTCTTCTTCTTCTTTTTTTTTTTTTTTAGTTTTGGCTGTGCTGGGTCTTCATTGCTGCTTAGGCTTTTTTTCCAGTTGCAGCAAGCGGGGCCTACACTCTAGTTGCAGTAAGGGCTTCTTATTGCGGTGGCTTCTCTTGTTGCAGAGCATGGGCTCTAGGTGTGAGGGCTTCAGTAGGTGCAGCTCAAGGATCAACAGTTGTGGCTCCCAGGCTCAGAGTTAGAACATGGGCTCAGTAGTTGTGGCACATGGACTTAGTTGCCCCGCGGCATGTGAGATCTGACCAGATCAGGATGGAAGCCGTGTCTTCTGCATTGGCAGGTGGAGTCTTTACTGCTGATCCACTAGGGGAGCCCCACGGAGGCTTTCCTGAGTAGGAGACACTTGAGCCTGAGGGTCTTAAGGGTTGAGTGGTGGGGGCGGGGGGTTCTGCAAATGAAAGGTTTGGGGAGGTTGAGGAAGACAGCCATGGTTTGTGGAAAGCTTTGTGATATGACCATGCAGCCTCAAAGGGAGAGCAAGTTAGCACTGGTCTGGGTCTCATCCTGCAACCTGGAGCCGTAGGGGTGAAGCCAGAATTGGTGACTGGGGACCATGGGGTCCACTCCCTTTTGTCTGGGGGCCTTGCTGGCGGGAACACCAGGGCAGGGAGCTCACTTGGGATGTGAAGGAAGGCTGAGCCGAAGGAAGCTGTGGGAGGGAGGAAATGGGCAATTCTAGCTAGATTTGGGAATTTTTTGACTAAAAGTGTCACAGATGACATCTTCGTGGCACTTGCATGACTCTGTGGGTGGTGGGTGGCAGAGTCATGGGGTGTCATTTGGCCACATTTGGCAGTTTGATGTCACCAGCATTGAGGCTGCTTCCTCTCAGTGTGACCTGGGATAGCAAGGGTTTCATTTGGGGATAGCTAAGTGCTCTGGGGATAATAATGCATAACTTAAAAACCCAGGTCTCCAACATTGCAGGCAGGATTCTTTACCATCTGAGCCACCAGGGAAGCCCCAAGAATACTGGAGTGGGGAGCCAGTCCCTTCTCCAGGGGATCTTCCTGACCCAGGGATCGAACCCAGGCCTCCCTCATTGCAGGCAGATTCTTTACCTGAGCCACCAGGGAAGCCCTAACTTGGAAACAACTAATGTAAAACTAAGCACATTGTTTTGTATTACACTGTTTGGTAATACAAATAGTGGGTCATAAAAAAACATAAAAATAGAGTCCATGGAAGGGTCAGGAATTTTTTCCTTTGGTACTTGGAAGTCACCCTTTTGCCTGTTTCCATAAAATATTTTCTCAGCCCATTGATGATCTTTGTAAAAAGTCCCCAGAAGGCCCACCAGGAAACTCCCCAGACTTTATCCAAGAGGAGCCCCCTTTGACCCTGGATCAGTCAGTTGGCTCAGAGGGGCGGGTGAGGCTCTTGAGGCCCAGAAGGCATGTCTTCCAGAATCCCATGAGCATGCAGACCTCATTCAGTCCATCAAGTTGACAAATTGACCCACAAATCAAAGTTTATTGCTTCCAAGCTCAGGAGCTCAAGATGAATCAGAGGATAACAAGGTGAAGGTGGGTTTGATCCATTAACCGTCTCAGTGATGTTGACTCTTGCCTGCGATTCTTACCCACTTGGTCAGCACTTTGGGTCGAGGACTTTGCAGCCGCCCCACGTTCTTACATACATGTCAGCACACAGGAGAGCACTGGCCTCTCCTGAGGTCCCCCTCCCCAGCCTTTGGGAAACAGCTCTGGTGACTTTGGGCAGATTCATTTGGTACGTCAGCCAGTGCCCAGGACCCTACTTGTTCTGTGGCCTCACATCTTCTGAGACAGGTCCAGGGAGGCATTTCCCTCCTCGTCACCTCTTGGGATTCCCCACGGTTGCCTGTTGGTTCCTAAGAGGGAAGGATGATCAGTCGGGGGTTCCTGATTGTCCTGTTGAGAAGTAGCTTTAGCATCTCCAGGACAGAGTTAGGTTGCAGGACTAGGGGTGAGGGTCTAAGGATGTGATGGCTTGTCTCAGTTTCTTGAGACTTGGGACTCCCGGCTCCTTGCTCCCCGGCCAAGCCAAAGCTCCCCTGCTGGAGGCTTACCCACCCCGACATCCTGCCGTGGAGGGTCAGTGTCTTCACTTTGAGCTTGAAAGGTCCTTTATGGTGATCTCATTCTGCCCTCGCACACATACCTCCTGGCACAGTTACCCACACATCACGTGATCTGGTGGGCGTGTGTCCTATTTGAGGAATTCCACAAGGAAAAAAACATATCTTCTCAATCATTCCTTCCCAAATGAAAGCACCCTCATTCTCAGGAACTTCTTCTTGATAGCTCAACTCAGTTCATCTTGCTGCATTTTGAAACCCATTGTTCATCAACTAGGTTCAAGGTCCCATCTTTCTCCTTCTTCAACCTTTGCCATCTGCAGGGTCACCCTTCTCCCAGGCCCCAGATGTGTATCTGTCTACTCATCATGATTGCCTGCTGCCATCCTCAGGCCATCTTCCTTCCTATCGCAGGACCCCAAATGGCTTCGAGTTCCCCTCCGCTTGGAGCTGGGTTAGGATTGCGAACAGGATTTGTATTTAAAGATCACCTGAGCAAAGTGGGTTAAGGCGCACCTGGCCCTGCTGGTGTCAGGTGCAGAGTGCCCTCTGAGCCAGAGAAGCTGTGTCCCCTGGGTTTCTGGGCCTTTGCATCTGATTGCCATTCAGTCTTCTTTTCTTCTTCTTGCCACCTGGCTCCCCTCGGGTGTCTGCTGGCCCAGCACTCGGTCTGCGATGTGTGTTTACCTTTCCTAGAGGTGCCCAGGCTGGCTTTCTGGACATCCTGTCTATGGTCCTTTAATTCCTGCATCTTCTTTAAAGTTCTGTGGGCCAGGAGCCTTGAGAGATTCTGCAGCGATCCTGAGGGGCCCCACTCCATCTCAGCACCTTATTCTAGGACTCCCAGATTTAAATTCCTGCATCTCCAAAATGGCAGAGCCAGTCTGAGAGCCTGAGCCTGGGCCTGAGCCTTTGGAATCCCAGGGTCTCTACTTGGAATTCCAAGGATGGGCATAGATTTTCTCACCTTCCACCTAAGTGCAGCATCTCAATTATATCAATCATTGACTTAGTCTATTCCCAACATATATGTTGGATCTCAACATATATCAAACTTTTAGTCTCTTCTCCAGGGGCCCCCAGTTCAGCCACTTAGGTCTCTGTCTGTGCTTACTTGCTCTGTGGGACTCAGCCTGGGCTGGTAAAGAGGATGGTGAGGAGCCTGTGAATTCAAAGTCTTGGGAGCTGCCTTCCAGCCATGTGATGCTGTAGGGGTGGGAGGAGATCTTATTGGCGCAGGCGTGTGCCAGGCACTCCCGATGTTGCGAGGCTGACCACCACCCTCTCTGTCTTGCCAGGCCGAGACAGCAGCCAATCGCATCTGCAAGGTGCTGGCCGTCAACCAGGAGAACGAGCAGCTCATGGAGGACTACGAGAAGCTGGCCAGTGATGTGGGTACCCCTGGGTTCTCCTGGTCTGGCCCCGGCAAGGCCTTGCCACCCTGTCCTGAGAGACCAGGCAGCCCCCAGAACCCATCCATTCCTCCAAATCCATCCCTGGGCACAGTCCCAGACTGGGCATTGCCCCTCATCCCAGCTGCTGACCGAGGGCGGCTTGGGCTCCCCCAGAAATCAGGGGTAGTGTGTGGGTTAGGGGCGAGTCGGGACTTTGGAGAGCTGAGTTCCAGGCTTTTTCTGTCACCTCTCTGCTCTTGTTTTTTTTTTTCACTTGACAAATGATAGCTATGCCAAGAGACCTCAGAGGCCTTTTGGGCCTAGCGTACTGTTACTCTGGGAGTTTCCTTTGAACTTAAAAGGAGTGTGCAGTTCTGAGAGGATGTGAACCAGGGATAAATCACGCTGGCTCAGGCTAGCTTAGTGGCTGGGCCCACCCAGGGAACAGGAGGGGGCAGGATGGGTTTGCTCTTCTGCCACTGGGTGCATTTAGGTTAGAGCACCAGTTGCTCCTTCCTTAATTCAGCCCCTGAACAGCTTAGCCTGGCCTCTTGGTGGACTTGCCATCCCCCAGCATAGTAAGAGCCTAGGTTCTGGGGCCCCAGTGCCTGGATTTAATCCCTGCCCTAAACTGGTCACCTTGGCAAGTCACAGAAGCTCACAGTGCTTTGGTTATGTCCTCCGCCACCGGCGGGGAGGGTCACAGCACTTAATCCCATGATGACTTAGCTTGTCATCATTATTCAGATGAGTTAGTCCGGGCCACGTGATCTAGTTGCAGGGGATCACAAGTTTCCTCTTATCGTTTCCACTCCTCCACCCCCATCATCTTATTGAGGAAACAAAATTCAGGCTGTCCTCTGCAGGCTTTTTCCCTTTTGAGTCAGGGACCCACATTCTAGAATCCTAGAAGGTCAGATGGCAGGGACTCTGGCCAGCAACCGTTCACCCCTCCATGGTAAGATAGGGACATTGAGGCCCAGCCAGGTAGTAGAGGGAGACGAGAGCTTGGGTCTCCTGCTGAGTTGAGCCGTCTTGCCCCCAGGTTTCCCCTTGCGGAGCAAGGAGGTTGAGTGATGCTGGCTGAGTTGACCTATCCTAGTGGCCAGGCGTCATGAAGCCTTTGATCTCAGAAGGAGCCTGGTCCTGTGGCCTGGGAACAGCCTGGGGTGGTGGTTGGGAAAGAGTGTGCGGTCAGGAGAGATGCTCCCTGCCTCCCCGGCCCCCCTCCCAGCGTCCTCCCCCGCTCCCCCCCGCCCCCCGCAGCTGCTGGAGTGGATCCGCCGCACCATCCCATGGCTGGAGAACCGGGCGCCCGAGAACACCATGCACGCCATGCAGCAGAAGCTGGAGGACTTCCGTGACTACCGGCGCCTGCACAAGCCGCCCAAGGTGCAGGAGAAGTGCCAGCTGGAGATCAACTTCAACACGCTGCAGACCAAGCTGCGCCTCAGCAACCGGCCCGCCTTCATGCCCTCGGAGGGCAGGATGGTCTCGGTGAGCAACCGGACTGCCCAGACCCCGAGCCGCCAGCGAGGCGCTGTGGGCGGGGCAGGGGGCGGGGCGTGTGTGCTCCATCTGCCCACACTTGGCCAGGTGGGGCTCCCCGTCGCCCCAGAGAGAGAGCACCTTCTCTCCTCACCACCCCGGGTCATACTTGTCCTTTCCAGACCCCTGCACATCCACTTGGATCTGCCCCAGCACTTTCCTCCCTACCCATCAAAGAGTCATCTCAGCCAACAAAATCCCACTTGACATGTTGACTCAAACAGGGCATAATTCAGGAGCTAGAAGGATAATTTTCACTTCATGGAATCTTGTTTCAGCACTTAAAAACTTTTTAAAAAAAATATTAAATAGATTCTTTTTTTTTTTTTTTGGTAGGACATTTTCAAATATGTAAATAAGTAAAATACAAAAAATAGAAATTCTTCATAATCTTCCTACCCAGGATCAACTTAAAAGATTTTGGGGAGAAGAGACTCTTTTAGTCTCTGTAAATGTGATTTTAAAGGGAATCTGAAAGCATCTTTTATTTAATAAGCTGCTTAGAAAAAAGAACTTTCGGGGATTTTCCTGGTGGTTAAGATTACATGCTTCCACTGCGTGGGGCACAGGTTCAATCCCTGGTGGGAAAACTAAAATCCCCCATGCTACATGGCATGACCAAAAAAAAGAAAGAAAGAACTAATTATATTGTGACCAGCTTTCCATGTCATAACTTTTTTTCATTTTTGTCATTTTTTGTTATTCCTCCCTGTTTACTCTTTCCCCAGGACTTGAGATATGAGCTAGAGAAACATGCAAACAAAAATTTTAAAATTAAAAAAATAATAAATAAAAATTGATCAGGATAGAGCTTTTGCACTTTGCAGAGGAGAGTTGACAAGGAGTCATGGGCACATGAGGCAGGCGTGGAAGGGGCTGGGAGAAACTTGTGAACAACACTGGAAGGAGGGTGGACCCTGGGGGAGTAGAGAAAGGCCTGACGTTGTGCATGTGGTTTGGAAAACTGGTCCTTTTACAGATTCCAGGCCGAGTCAGCAGCTTTTATATGGCTGGAGCTGCTGCTCGATGGGGGGTGCTCTGTGCTTTAATGTGTCCTCCTGTGGCAGAGACAATGTGGTCCCTGGCACATGGCGAGGGCCTGGGTGGCATGTGAGCTGGACAGCCTATCACTGCCCGGGGGGTGTCCTTGTGCTAACTGTAGGGGGCAGCTCCCTGTCTGAACGCCTGTGGGTTTCTGCTCATTACCTGTCACTATCTCTGGGTGACTCTGGGATGGCTCAGCCAGGCCAGGGTCCTTGGAGGCTCCAGGCTACTGTCCAGAGCCCGAGAGTAAACCCAGATATGTGAGGAGACTGGGAGGCTTCCACCCCTGCCTGCCTCGTTGAGTCTGTTGCCCTGTCTCCCTGGCTGGCCCTGTGACCTCTGTGGTTGCTCAGAGTCCTGTCAGAAGCCCGTCCTGGAGCCCAGAGGGCCTCGGGCTCTCTCCCCGCTGGGATGCACTGCTAACGCCCCATGGCAGCATGGCACCACTTCCTTGCCCAGGAGGCCTGGTTCCCTAGGAACCCTAGGTCATACCGTGGGGGGCTGGGTGGGGAGGAGGCTCCTGGAAGGCATGGAGGAGCCCTGGGGTCTAGGGGGCCAGGCGGGCTGACCCTGTGCCTGCCATCCCTGCAGGACATCAACAATGCCTGGGGCTGCCTGGAGCAGGCGGAGAAGGGCTATGAGGAGTGGTTGCTGAATGAGATCCGGAGGCTGGAGCGGCTCGACCACCTGGCAGAAAAGTTCCGGCAGAAAGCCTCCATCCACGAGGCCTGGACGGATGGTAAGACCAGCCTAGCCCCTGCCCCCCACCCCAAGCCTGGCTCTAGCTTTCATGCTCCCCCACCCAAATCACCAGCCACAACTCCTTTCTCTCTTAGGTTTTATCTGTTTTGTCTCTTACTGTTCCTTAACATTAGGCTAGTTCATGACCCACCCTAACCCCTTTTTTTATTGGCCACTCCCCATGGCACATGGGATCTTGGTTCCCTGACCAAGGATCAAACCTGCCACCTCTGCACTGGAAGTGCAGAGTCTTAACCACTGGACCATCAAGGAAGTCTCTCATTAGTCTTTTGGTTGCTTCAGTTTTCTCCTCTGCTAAGCGGGGACAATAATAGTACCAACTTAATATGTTTATGAGAATTAAATGGCATAATACATCAGAAGCAATGAGAAGAGTTCCTGGCATTCGTACAGTGCTATATATTTGTTAATTATTCTTGTGACTGTAGTGATTTCTCTTCCCTGAGTTGGATTGGGGTTCATGTGCTGATTCTACCGCCTAGAAGCAATGTATCTTGGACCAGTGGTCTTGTGTTCTTGTCTGTTATACGCAGGTGATGATATGCCCTCCTGTATTAGTTTCTTAGGTCTTCAAATTACCATAAACTGGGTGGTTTTACGTGATATAAGTGCATTCTGTTACAGTTCAGGAGACTAGAAGTCCTGAATTAAAGTGACGTCAGCACTGGCTCCTTCTAGAGCCTCTGAGGGGAGGCGTCCCCTGCTTCTTCCTAGTGTCAGGTGGTTTTACTGGCACTTCTCGGTGTTCCTTGGCTTGTAGCAGCATCACTCTAATCTCTGCCTCCATCATCACCGGCTGCTTCTCTCTGGGTCTCAGTGACCCAATCTGCCTCTGTTTTTTTTTTTTTTTTACTGAAGACACCAGTCATTGGATTTAGGGCCCACTCTAATCCAGTAGGGTTTGCCAGGTGGGAGAGTGGTAAAGAATCTGCCTGCCAATGCAGGAGATGCAAGAGATACAGGTTCAATCCCTGAGTCTGGACTATGCCCTGGAGCAGGAAATGACAACCTGCTCCAGTATTCTTGCCTGGGAAATCCCATGGACAGAGGAGCCTGGGGGACTACAGTCCATGGAGTTGCAAAGAGTCAGACACATCTTAGTGACTAAACAACAACTAATCCAGTATGACCTCATCTTAGCTAATTATATTGGCAAAGACCCTATTTCCAAATAAGGTCAGACTCTGAGGTTCTGGGTTGACACGAGTTTTAGAGGGACACTATTAACTCAGCATACCTCCTCGTACAGTTGTTGTGCATTTTATGTGTAGCCGAGTGCCTGGCACATGGAACACACTCGGTAAATGGGAGCCCTTGATATCTTCCCTCTGCCTTCTCTCCATTGTGGTAACCTGGAGCTCTGGCCTTAGCACCTGTGTGTCTCCATCACTCTGACCTGGAGGCACTTGGCCATGTCTGGTGTCTGCTTGTTGGCAGATGATCTTCTCCAAAGAGAGAAGATCACACCTAACATTGTCTTTTCCTCAGAACCTGGGCTGGGGCTGGAGAGTGAGCCATGCTACCCATCTCCTAGAGCCCTGCGGTCATTTCAGCTGGAGCCCCTGGAGCAGACCCATTGGCTGGTAGAGCTCAGTACCCTGAGATGCCCCATTCATCTCTGCAATGGTCCTCAGACATTAGGCTAGAGATGAGTAGGGACAGCCGCATCCTGGGGCCATTTGCGAGTGGCTTGGAACAGGAGGGCATAGGTGTGTTCATGACTCAGCAGAGGGGTTTGCTGGGCTGCATATATGATGATACTTGGTCACTGCCGCGCCTTCCACAGTGCTTGTGTGCGCTATCTTATCCAGGCACGGGTGGATGGAGGAGAAGGGGGATGGTGGAGTTTTCACCGATTCACCCACACACTTCTATTGTGTTCTCTCTGGGGCCAAGGAACAGCTCACAAAAAGGTACAGAGCAAAGACTGGCCCCGCCAGCCACCAGCAAAGGCATGAGAAGTGCGGCGTGCCTCCAATAGATGCCGACATAGCAGTCTGGCTATACGTACTCACAGCTGACAATGCTGTTGCCTAGCTACTTAAGAATTGCATTTATTGAGGCTGTCTAAAACCCCTAAACGTGGCTGAAATCACGTGTCTGGGATGTTTGCGATGAGTCCATCTACAGTACTGCCAGCTGAGGGGCCTGCATGCTCCACGGTAGTGCAGTGTGTGGTTACACCAGTGGAGGTTCAGCCACTTGACAGAATGTTACGGGGCCATCAGAGTGACTCATGTGATGGCCGTGGTGCCAGTGTAGAAACTGGTGATGTGCTGCTGAGTATTTTAAAAGCAGGATATATAATTTATATACACCCAGTGGTTTTAATGCAACATCCATAGAAGGCGAGACTGGGAAGGAGTAGATAAGTAGGCTCATCTGTGATTTCTTTTTCCCCCCTAAACTCGTCATATTAATATTCTGACAAAAAGGAGTAGAGAGAAGGAAAGAAGCCATCACCTCTTTGGCCCAGCCCTCATTTCCTGAGAGTTGCTGAGCCTCCCTGATGGGGCAAACGGCGGAGGTGGGCATGCAGGCAAGGCCAGGTCAGTCTCTGTCCTGAGGCAGCTGCTTCACAGGGCAGCTGGGGACCGTCATCTAACAGTGATCTGAGAGGTCGATTCTCATCCTCTTCCCTTTGGAAACAAAAATCCAAGAAATGCAACCCTTGCCTCACCCCTTAAAAGAGAGGGCCGGGAACCTGATGCTTGGAGAAGGTGCTGGTTACTGATGGCTAATGTGCAGAGTGCACTGGACAGGCTGCCCACACTGGGTGTAATTGAGGGGTGGGGTCCCTGCAGGGCTGCTGGGGGCCAGCAACTGTAAGTGGAGAAAACTCTAAAGATGGGGTACCCCTGAGGAACTTGTTTTCCCCAGGTTATACCGCAGGCATAGATCGTTGTTTCCTGCTGTTTATAAAGTTCGTGTTATACCCTGCCTGTCCACTTAGCCTGCATCGTCTGTACATCACCACTCCTGGTGGCCCTGGCACGCTCCATGAAAAGGAGTGACTTTCCCACCTCTGCCCCGTCGCCCGTGTTCTGGCCGCATATATATCTGTTTTCTTGAACTGCAGATAATTGATCATCATATGGGGCACATCTATCTCCTTGGAATATACCGGAAGTGGAACTCCCAGGCCCTGAGGGTGGGGGTGGTTGAGATCAAGAATGTGGGTCTCCTGGCTCCTGCTCAGCCTTGTACCTGACCTCTGACCCGCAGGCAAAGAGGCCATGCTGCGGCAGAAGGATTACGAGACAGCTACCCTCTCGGAGATCAAGGCCCTGCTCAAGAAGCACGAGGCCTTCGAGAGTGACCTGGCCGCCCACCAGGACCGCGTGGAGCAGATTGCCGCCATTGCCCAGGAGCTCAAGTAAGCTCAGCGGGCGCTGCAGCGCTGTGGGGGGTGGGCGGTGGCCTGAAAAGTGAGCCGGGTCCTGGGGCAGGAAGGTCATTGATACAGAAGACTAAGGACGTCCCTGCAGGTGTGGAATAGCCTGCGACCATTCTGTCACAGGCCTTTGTCCTTACCTACAGCCAGTGTGGGACCAGAGGGTGACCGAGTATGGCCCTGAGATCTTGCCTGATCTTAGTGGCTTCCTGTCACTGGCCATTGCAGTCAAGGCTGGCGTGGCCTCCAGGTCAGGTTGGGGCGGGGGCCCTCTGGGGGACCAGAGGAGAGCTGGTCCCCTCCCAGCAGTCTCCTGAAAGCCCAGAGGTTGAGGATGGGAGTAGGGGTCCTGGAAGCTCTTGATGAAGCGCGCACACCTGGCCTTCCTGTGTCATGAGCGCCCCAGCCCCAGAGAAAGGAGAGCAGGCCACAGAGGTAACCTGGGTCACCCGACTCTTCCTCTCTCCTCCCCCGCAGTGAGCTGGACTATTACGACTCACCCAGTGTCAACGCCCGGTGCCAGAAGATCTGTGACCAGTGGGACAATCTAGGGGCCCTAACCCAGAAGCGGAGGGAAGCTCTGGAGGTGAGGGCCCCTGAGGAGACGGAGACCTGCCTCCGGCAGCCCTGTGTGCTCCTTCCTGCTTCCTGACTCCCTTTGCTTTGCGCTAAGAGGCTCCACTGGGTTCCTCAGACCTTCCCCAGGCCTGGTCTGACCAGGGAAGGCTCACATTGGCACTAGACTTGACCTTTGCCCTGATGGAGATGCCCTGATCATATCTTCTCCTCCTCCTGATTTAGTGTACTTGGACCAAGCCCCAGCTGTTTGAGAACCTTCCTGTTCTCCAAACCAGGCTCTCTGGGGGCTAGGCGAGTGATTCCAGTGTGGGGTGGTCCATACGCCCCATATTAAGAACCAGCACTCTAGAGAATCTGTTCTGAGTTAGTCTGCTCCTTCCAGACCTGAAAATCTCTGGGCTGGTCAGGAGGATCTTGAAGTCTGCTGGGTTGGGTGGGGGGTTGGTGATTCTGGACATGACTTTACGAAGCACCTTCCCATCCCACGCCATTTGGCACTTGCAGCGCACGGAGAAGCTGCTGGAGACCATTGACCAGCTGTACCTGGAGTACGCCAAGCGGGCCGCGCCCTTCAACAACTGGATGGAGGGGGCCATGGAAGACCTGCAGGACACCTTCATCGTGCACACCATCGAGGAGATCCAGGTGTGCGGCCGGCCCCCTGTCCCCAGAGGCTGGCTCCACACAGCCCACATTCCGCCAGTCCCCTTCCTGCAGGACTGCCCTCGTAGGGAGAAGGCTGAGGGTAGCCTCCCCAAGGATGTTCTAGATTTGAAAGCTTTGTGTTTTATTTATTTAGACTCTGTAATATATGCATATATATTATCAGCTGGTATCAAATCTACAAGCTAAAGAGACTATGCAAGAGTTTCCCTCCTAGCCTTTGTCCCCCAGCCCCCCCAGTGCCCCTCCCCAGAGGGGAGCGGGACACAGTCTCTGCATAGGCGAGCACATTTGTTTATTAATATGTTCTTCCCCCGCCGTTTCACATAAAAAGTAGCTTCTATTATATACTGTATCCCAAACCTTTATTTCTAACCTCATAATTATCTTGGAGCTCATTTCACTGCAATAAGCCATTCTTTTGTACAGCTGCAGAGTGTTAGATGAAAAAGGTTTTGCAGAATAATGAGAAACGTGTGTTGGGAGAGGTCACTTGAGCAGACCCAGGGTACCCCTTGTCCCCAACTAACTATGGGGTGGTGAGCACCCCAGGGAGATTGCTGCTGAATTCACCAGCCCTGAGCATGAAGCTGTGGCACCTTCCTGGGGCCAGCCCAGCCATCCTGGTTCTCAGCCGAAAGAGTCCTGGGTTGATGCCTCCAGTTGATGCCCAGGGGCCACCGGAGGCCGGCCCCTTCACCCACTTCTGCCCTGGGACCTGCAGGTCTCCTGTGGCTTATCTTGCCCCTGGGAGGCACCAGTCCCTCCCAGTCACTGCTGCTTCTGCATGCCCGTCTCTCTCCAGGGACTGACCACAGCCCATGAGCAGTTCAAGGCCACCCTCCCCGATGCTGACAAGGAGCGCCTGGCCATCCTGGGCATCCACAACGAGGTGTCCAAGATTGTCCAGACCTACCACGTCAACATGGCAGGCACCAACCCCTACACAACCATCACGCCTCAGGAGATCAATGGCAAATGGGACCATGTGAGTCTAAGGGCTGGGTGGGGCGCTGGCGGAGCCATTGTAAGTTTCAGAAGGGCAGGGATCTTTGTCTGTATTGTTGATTTTCATTGATTTCAGTGTCGTACAGTAAGTACTCTTGTCCGTTAAGTAAATGAGTGAATTTCTAGAACGGGTCAATGTGTTCACTCCTGTTACTGCCTGGCCCCCTCCCTTCATGGCTCCTCCATTTCTCGTGACATGGAGGCAGATGGCCGGCTCATCCCAATGTCCCCTGATTGTTCCTGCCCCAGGTGCGGCAGCTGGTGCCACGGAGGGACCAGGCCCTGACGGAGGAGCACGCCCGCCAGCAGCACAACGAAAGGCTACGCAAACAGTTTGGGGCCCAGGCCAACGTCATCGGGCCCTGGATTCAGACCAAGATGGAGGTGGGTCCCAGCATGGGAGGCAGGGCAGGGGCTTCCACCCTTCCCCACACCATCCCAGACAGTCAAGCTTGCCCTGTCTCCTCCTGGACGGGACCTGTGCGCACTGTGGGTCCTGAACCCACAGCTGGTCTGCTGCCCCATGGAGGGTGTGGGACCCATGTCCACACAGGGACACCCATGAGACAGTCCCACAGAAGGATCAGTGCCTAGGTGACTGATTCAGCTTGCCCTGTGGCATATGTGGTTGAGCTGGTCTCCCTTCCTCCTGAGTCATGAGCTTGGCCAGAAGGAGGTGATCTCCCCAGAGAGAGAACTGTGCTTTGGGCAAGCGTGAAATTCTTTGCTGTATTGTTGGACTGGGTATCAGGGTGATATAGATAAGGAAGGAACACTGCTTGGGTTAGAGCGTGGTGTCCTTCTGAATTCCTTGAGGGCAGAGACCATGTCAAGTTCCTGTGTGCTTCTCTGGACCCCATCTCCACCTGCTTTAGCACATTATGCATAGTAGTAGGTGCTCCAGAAATACTTGCTAAATTGGACTGAGTTCCCAGAAAGTGCTTTCACAAGCTAGGTGTGTTTACATGGATGAAAGACAGAGATGGGGATTAGGCTTGGACCATGGAGACAAGTGGGATTGAGGTGGGCAAGGCAGGCCTCCGAGGAACAGAACAGCAGGAGCATGTTCACTGAGAAGGTGAGCCAGGTGCCCTGAGGCTCTGAGGAACCCAGCTCAGGGGGAGAACTTCCCTGAGATGGATGGTAGTTGGGAACAGGCTTGGGATGGGAGTTTGAATGGCAGGCAGAGGAGTGAACTTTTAAGTTAGCAACTGACCTTGCATCCCCTTCCTGAGGCTGAGGGGTACCTGGGAGATGGGAGGTATTCATCTGATGATATCAGTCAGTGCTGGTCAGATTCTTTTATGATGCTATTTCCATGCTAAGAACCATCAGAGGGGTTTTTCAGTGACCTGGGGGCCCCAGTCTCCACCCTGGGGGCCCAGAGTGCATAGGTCTCACAAGGGCCTCCTTTCTGGGTGAGCAGGAGATCGGAAGGATCTCCATTGAGATGCACGGGACCCTGGAGGACCAGCTCAACCACCTGCGGCAATATGAGAAGAGCATCGTCAACTACAAGCCTAAGATCGACCAGCTGGAGGGTGACCACCAGCTCATCCAGGAGGCGCTCATCTTCGACAACAAGCACACCAACTACACCATGGAGGTGGGGGCCACCAGCCTTGCTCCCCTGGAAAGGGAGCCCCGGATCCCCCTTCTGCTTCCCCATCCTGGGCTGGGAAAGTGGTGGGGGGGGTCACCCATCATTCCAAGAAGACTGGTCGTGTAGTAGGATAAACCCTAGCTTTTAAGTGAGAGGATACTCACTTCTCTTCCCTCCTGGGGCTCTGGGTCTTTGGTCCTCAGGGCTTTGTGAATTTCCCAAGGAGCTTGCTGAGAATGCAGATTTCCAGGTGCTGTCCCAGAATTTGATTCACTAGGTCTAGGATGGGACTCGGGTATCTAAATTTTTTAACAAGTACCTGGTGATTCTGAGACTGCTGGTCACCAGACACTGGTTTGGCCTCTGCTTTTTAAATGACCTACTTGTTTTGGCCATGAAGGCATGGGTGTGAGGTTATAGAGTTGGATGTTCAGGGAATTACCCACTTTTGTGTCCTTTGATCTTCCCCACTGTCAACTTTGCCCTTTTTCCTGACCTGACTGCGCTGGTCATTCTGGTCTCTGCTGTTCCAGGCAGAAACCATCACCCTTCTGTGCTTCCCTCTTCATCATCTGGGTCCTCTGTCCTGGTTTGCTGTCCTTGTCTTGGTTTCCCTGTGCCTGGTGACTCTGTTAATCTGGGCAGCAGGCCTGGTTTGATTGCACTGGTCATTTTGATGGTCAGGGGAGGGGGCAGGGAGGGGCGGCCCGGGCCAGTCCTGGGACCCCTTTGCTGACGTGCCTTGCCTGCCTGCAGCACATCCGTGTGGGCTGGGAGCAGCTCCTTACCACCATCGCCAGGACCATCAACGAGGTGGAGAACCAGATCCTGACCAGGGATGCCAAGGGCATCAGCCAGGAGCAGATGAATGAGTTCCGGGCCTCCTTCAACCACTTTGACCGGGTGAGCTCCACCCCTGCACTTGCTGAGGGCAGCCCCGGCCCCAGGGCCCTGGAGGGCACTGCCCAGGGCATGGGCCCACTTCCTGGGCAAGTGAAGAAGAGGGGGGGAGGGAGGAACTGCAGTCAGCCTGCTCTGACTCTCCACCACCCCAGGCTGGCCTTAGAAGCTGTCCAGGTATCCCATGAGCATCCCTGCTTTCCTGGAGAGAGCTCGTGTTGTGGGTGAAGAGAAGCCCTCAGACCCGTGACCCTTGCTCTCCTACCATGAGGAGTCACCCCCTGGGGGCAAGGCTGCCATAGCCTCGAGGGAGGACCTGCTGTTCCTAGCTATGGGGACCATCCCCTGCCTGCACCTGGGGACACAGCAGAGCCTCCCTCCTCCCTGCAGCCCCAGGGGTAGCCTTTCTGACCCCTGAAAGAGGTGTCAGAGTTACCAGTCCTCCTGGATTCTCATCCAGTTTTGCGTGGGCTACCCCTCCCAGTGCCTTGGGGCTTTGTGGTGGCCACAGTGGGTGGGAGCATGGGCTTGGGTGCTGCCCACCACCCCTGCCTGCTTCACTGCCCTCCAGGCACCTGGGTGGGTGGCGTCCTCCTGGAAACCCCGCTCAGGGCATCGGAGCTGGAGGTGGGCTGGGCACTCTTCTGGGGGAGCTTCTTACCCCCATGGCTCACCATGCTTCCCTCCAGCCTGCTCCCCCAGGGCAGGACAGCTGCGTGTACCGGGGAGAGGGTCACCCTCTGGACCACGTCCGTGTGTCTAACCTTGTGCACTTTTATTTCCCTCCTCCCCCCGCCCCTCCACCCTCCACCTTCCCCATCCGCATGCCTTCATCCCTGTCTCTGCCCCCACACGCTACCCTCCACTGGGGCATGGCCCACCCCTTCCCCCTCACGGCCTCCACCTCCCTGGCACCGCATGGCTCGCTGGCTGGCGCACGGCGGCCCCAGGATCACTCCGGCACGCTGGGTCCCGAGGAGTTCAAAGCCTGCCTCATCAGCTTGGGTTATGATATTGGCAACGACCCCCAGGTACTCGCCTCCTGCATGGAGCACGCTCAGGGGTGGCGTCCGGGGCGAGAAATAACGCGTTTCTCCTTTTTTCTTTTCTCTCTCTTCTCTCTGTCTGGATCTCCTTGCCTCTCCTTTCCTGTGGGCCGCGGGGCTCGTCTTCTGCTGTCCCTGCCTGGCCCCTGGTGGGCTCTTCCTCCCACTACTCCGACCTCTGACCTCTGACCTCTGCCCTCGGTTATCTTTCGTGGGAACCTGCGCGGTGCCCACCTTCCTCTCTCCTCGTCGCGCTCCATCCCGTGGACGGATTTTTGCATCTCCCTGCTCTGTCTTCCTCCTTCCTGTGGATATCTTCCCCGGATGTGTATTTGCATCTCTTCCTCCTATGTTCCTCTCCCCTTCCTGACCCCCCCCCCCGCCCCCCAAAACCGTACACCTCGACCTCCCCTCTGGCCATCTGTGCCCTCTTCCTGGCCCTCGGCCGGCCCTTTCTCCTCCTTGTGTCTTGATGCCCCTGACCCCACAGAAGAAGACAGGCATGATGGACACGGATGATTTCCGCGCCTGCCTTATCTCCATGGGTTACAACATGGTAATGTAAACCCCACCCTCTGCCCTGGCGAGGGGCAGCCAGCCAGCTGACCGGAGAGGCCGAGTCCTGGCCGTGGCAGGCTGCAGGCCCTCAGGCTCAGGGGCTCCCCTCCCTGGAGGGGCCTCAAGATTCTGATCCGTGGGGAAGATGGTGTCCTGAAAGGGCTGGGCCCCAGCTACAGGGCCTGTGTGCGTCCGGGAGACCTGGCCTTCTCGCCTCTCTCTGCCGGTTTCTCTTTTGATATTTACAGTGGAAGTGGGCTTTTTTTTTTTGCTCCCATCGTGGATGGTGGAGCTGACCCCGAGGCTGCTGGGCAGGACGGTGCTGGGCACTCTGGGTGGGGGTTGGTTCGGCTCCATCTCACGTGAGGCCTGGAGAGTTCCACCTCTGTCCTGGTGATGGCTTCAGCCAGGCCTGCCGCCCCTTAGCTAATTGCCCCAAGTCCCTTCCCAACCTTCTCAGCTGCCTTGCCCTCATGCAGGCCTTCTGAGCAGGGCAGGGGCCTCAGCTGGGCAGCCAGGCAACTCCTGGCCTACCTTGCAAAGTCCTTGCTCAAGATCCAAGGAGCCCTTGGGCTGCCCAGCGCAGGAGCAAGGGTGTGGGCTTTAGAAGCAAGGAACCTGGGAATAAACCCCAGCTCTGTCATCCCCTGCTTGGGGGCCCAGATAAGATGAGGGGAACACTGCCAGACCATCATAACTGTTAAACGAAGCAACTCAACGTGAGTGCTGTGCCGTGTCTGACACATAGAATGGACAGTGTGGTGGAGGCCCAAGTTTATGTCTCAGCTCTACTACCCGCTGGCTGTGTGACCTTTGGCGAGTCACTAAGCCTGCCTGGGCCTTAGGTTTCTCCTCTGGAGACCTGATGAAAATAATAAAATAAATACCTACTTCGTGGTTGTGAGGAGGGTTAAATGAATTTTACACAGCACTTAAAATAGTGCCTGGTATATAGTATATGCTGAGTGTTAGCCATTGCTGTCGTTAGTTATCATCCATATTATTATTTTTGTTCCAAGAGGAATGCAGGCATCCATAGAGGGTGGGAAGCCGAGACAACTCAGGTTAGGTCAGGGGCCCGCTCTTTCAGCCTCAAGCACTTGGAGGCCCCAGAGGCTTCAGGTTCATAGAGAGAGGAGACTGTGGTTGACAGGCCTGGGATTGGCTTTTCCCTCCAGGGAGAGGCAGAGTTTGCCCGCATCATGAGCATCGTGGACCCCAACCGCCTGGGGGTGGTGACGTTCCAGGCCTTCATCGACTTTATGTCTCGTGAGACAGCTGATACAGATACAGCAGACCAAGTCATGGCTTCCTTCAAGATCCTGGCCGGGGATAAGGTGGGTATGCTGTCATGTGAGCATCATGTGCAGGTGGACTGAATTGGAGGGGAGGTCGTGAGCAGCTCTGCTGTTCCTTCTTCCCCACCTGAGCCTCATTGCTGTCTACCTCTACCAATTTCTGTAACATTTGGGCATCAGCTAAGAGGTTAGGACACAGCATTAGCTTAAGGGAGCCCCCAGCCATGGACACTGCATGTCATACTTATGATGAGATACTGGTGATGAAATGACTGGTGGTGGAGGGCAGTCCAATCAGATGGAGTATGTGAGTGGGTGATGAAAGGTCAATCTGGGAACTTAAGACTTCAGCCCTGCATCATTCTGGGCACAAGCCATGGCATGCAGATGGGAAGAAGGAAAGAAGCGTGTTTCTCATTTGTCTACCCTAAGCAGCAGTCAGCTTCAGATCTCCAAATCTCCCAAGTTCCCTGCACTGCCAGGCCCGACAGTGGGAAAGCAGGAGCATCCAGGGGGATTGGGGGGCAGAGGAGTCTAGAGGTCAGATTCCCTTTCTGTAAAATTAATACGCTAATCCTTACGCCATCCTTCCTTAGCCAATAGGGAGAATAGTTTCTGAAATGTCTCAATCTACATTGAAGTAAAGACTGAAGCAACAAAGAGGTTCCTAAAGCTCTTACTTAGATTCGAGGACACCTTCTTAGAGTCATAGCACTTTGGAGCTGGAAGGACCCTCAGAAACCGCCTCCTTGAAGTGACTCACTTAGTCGAGGAGGTCTCCAGGGCCCAGAAAGGGACCTGGTCTCCTGACTCTTGAGGTGACTGGAGGGCCAACTTCTGTCTCCTTCATACTGGCTCCTTTAGGAGACTCTGGCAGAAGTCGGGCGAGTCCCTGAATGCTTGCGGAGCCTCAAACTCCCCAAAGATGCAGGTTCCAAGTAGATTTTGATGGGCAAGCCCAAGACAGGGAGGAAGCAGACACCCCAGACTGGGAACCAGATGGGTTGGGGGAAGGTTAAGATATCTATCTGTGGCAGTGATGCCCCAAACTGGATGCTCCTCTAATTTGCAAGAATTTTGTGACCTCAGAGCCCAGCTGAGTGGGTGTGGGAGTCCTACTCTGTTTCACCAAATATGGTGTTGCTAATATTGTTCCAGCCTGTGGTTGGTGCAGGCTAGAGAGATACATGAAAAGATTATAGGTGCAGTTAGCTCTTGGAATTACTTAGGAACAGGCTAAAGCAGTGAAGTGAAAAACCTAAGGGGATTGAAATATATGTTATTTAAATATATATACACACATATATAGATAACATATATACATATGTGTCTATCATATAATTTATTTATGTATATGCCTGATACAGGTATGTGTAATGTACACGTCAGAAAGGGAGCGGGGCAGGGTACCTCACCTCCTGAGTGAGGTTCCCGACCTCCGCGCTTTGCGGCCGCCCTGAGCGCATTCTTCCCGCAGAACTACATCACGGTGGACGAGCTGCGCAGAGAGCTGCCGCCTGACCAGGCCGAGTACTGCATCGCGCGAATGGCCCCCTACACCGGCCCCGACGCTGTGCCCGGTGCTCTGGACTACATGTCCTTCTCCACGGCGCTGTACGGCGAGAGTGACCTCTAACTCGCCCCGCCCGGCCCGCACCCTCGCCCCGCCCCGTCCGCTGTGCGAGCCCCGCCCTGCGCCTCCGCTCTGCCCCTTCTCCCGCCCGGGTTTGGTTTCACGCTCTGCCTCCGGTGGGCAAGCTGGGACCTGTGTGGCATCCAGGCTCCCTGCCCGTGAAGTGACAGTTTACAAAATTATTTTCTGCAAAAAAGAAAAAAAAGTTACGTTAAAAAAAAAGTAAAAAAAAAAAAACCAAAAAAACCACATATTTTATTATACAAAAAGTATTTTTTTCTCCACCAGACTTAAATGGAAAAAGAGGAAGAATTAACTGTTTGCACCGAAATGTTTTGTTTTGTTGTGACATAGGAAAATAACCAAGCACAATGTTATATCCATCCTTTTTATCGATTTTTTTTTCTTTCTATCTGTACCATCTGCTGTATTCATTTCTCCAATCTCTTGTCCACCTTGACGTGGGAGTGGGAGGTGAGGGTAGGGGAAAATCCTGTCAAAAGGCACATTGGTGCATGTGTGTTTGCAAGCTCACTTGTCCATGAAAATATTTTATGATATTAAAGAAAATCTTTTGAAATGGCTGTTTTCTAAAGGAAGAGAATTTATGTGGCTTGTCTTCTCATTTTTGAAGTCCAGAGAGGTATGTAATTACCCTCTTCATCAGCACACACTTTTTGCCCCCCAAATACTGCCTATTAAAAATGGTCAGGACAAAATTGACAAGTGTGGACAACTTTGGTCCTATTTGGCACACACTGTTAAAGCAGCAACACTCCCGTGGCAGTTCTTTGCTCCTTGCTTATTGTTTTCCAAAAGAGCGCATGGGATCAAGGATGGTGTTGGGGCACCTGTACCACCCCTAGTATGCTTTTGACCCTGGCACGTTCAACCTTCTACTTCTGTTTTGTTTTCGAGAGGAAAACATGGTTTCCTCACAAGGCTCCTGTGCATTGAAAATAAACCCCACCTTTGTTTCCCATATCATCAAACAGCTCTGTGACATCTACATGCCCCGGTTCCTTGTATTTTTGCCGCAGGAGACGCTAAGGAAGTCATCTCATCCCCTACTCTTCAGACTGTCCCGGAGGCAGTAGCTGTCCAGCCTCACCTGGGAGGCTGTTGGAAATGCAGGCTCTCAGTTCTACCCCAAATACTCTCATTCGAATCTGCCTTTAAGCAAGGTCCCCGGCGATCTGTTTCTTATGTTTGTTCCTCCTTGCCTATCTTTCCTCCTGGAGGCTTTTACTCACAGTCCAGGCAGCGAGGACTGCCAGTAATGGTATCGTGACAGTGCAGTGATTTATAGACATAATTTAGCAATGGAAGCTGCAGGTCTGTGTTCCAGTTCTAACTGTGTCGAGGAGTAAAGCAGTTTGGTGCGGCAATAACAGGGAGTTGAGTCTGTGGAGTCTGACGGCCAGAGTTCAAACCTACAACTTCTATTTCCAAAATGGGTAAACTGGACACTACAGTTCTCTCATCTACTAACAGGGAATAATAGTGCTGCTGGAAAGTTGATGCTCTCATATATAGAACTCCTAAAGTGTTAGTGCATGTAAATGTTAGTTGTGGTCAATCCTACTTCAAGTTTTAAGGGATTCGCTTGAAGGATCTCTTTAAAAGAGAACTCTTAACATGATATAAGTCCCCTCATATAAGAAGACTAAGACTAAATTGGAACGTATTGAACTGGGGCCAGAGATGAGAGTTTTTCAGTGTAAGCCCCATTTGTTTAGGAATTAGTTCCGTGAGTTTCTGAAACACCCACTGCCCTGGGAAAGAGGCAAGGCTATTCAGGAGAATGGACATGGGGAGAGGTTGGCTTTTGCTTTGGGAACCATAATTGCAGGTTTTCCCACTGGCTGGCAGAAAGCCGTGCCTGCTCAAGGTGGGTCTTCTGTGACAGCAGGTTGGTGGGGAAGACTGTGGTTTAAGAGTTGAGGAGAAGGAAATTGTTCCAACCAGAGAGCTTCCTAAACTCAGGGTATAAGTGCATTAATAAGCCTCAATTTTCAGGGACTTCCCTGGTGGTCTGGTAGTTAAGACTCCAAGCTTCCACTGCAGGGGATGTAAGTTCAACCCTTGGTCAGGGAACTAAGATCCCACGTGCTGTGCAACATGGCCAAAATATTAAACAAAATCCCAAAAAAGCTCCCTCAATTTCCAGAGGTATGATCAATCTTTAAAAGAATGTGTAAGAGTCATTTGAACAAAGTGTGTTTACAGAGTTATTCCCCAGTCTTCAAGAGTTTGAGTTTCTCACCGTTCAAGGGTGCTTATATGTGTGCAAACGACTATAATTTTCAATCCGTTAAAGAGGTAAAGTCTTAAAATTTCATTTCTCAAGCTTTTAAGCTCATCATGGACATCTTGTTTTATTGATAATGTAATTTTTCTGTAAAAATAAAAACACTCTTCCATGTCCTAATCATTCATACGTTTAAACAGATTTAATCCTCCAGAACAACCCCACTTGCAAACTTTGTTAAATCCCTTTAAATATTTTAAACATATTAGCAAGTTTTAATCATTCTTTTCAGGACATCAGACTCCCAACCCAGGAAGATTCAAATCCAAGCTGCAGAGTTTAACTCAGCACAAAGCAATTGAAATATTATAAATGCAGTAAATCAGGTTCCCTGGAGCAGTTCAAAGGTGTTTACTAACAATTCTCTTAGACCTCAAAAATTGAAATTACACGTCTCATTTCAGTTACACATTTCAGATGAAAAGTCACAAAGCTATTATATGCTGGGTTCTTCTATGTGGTCAGTCACCCTAACCCACTCGTTGTCATGATGCATACAAAACTGCTGAACACCACCAACGTATTAGTACTAAGGAGTTTGATTTATGAATATGTCATCTGTTTAAGTATTTCTAAAGGGGTGATTTCAAGACCCTTTGCTACTTATTGCTGGCTTTTGGGGTCAGAGGTTCAAGTGATACATATATATATTTAGGGAAATACCACTAAGAGGAGTCCTCTTCCAGTCTTTGAGCTCTGTGATGGGCTGAATAATGGTCCTCACAAGATGTCCGTGTCCTAATCCCTTGGATCCTGTGACTATGTTACTTTACATAACAAACAGGATTTTGCAGGTGTAACTGAGTTAAAGGCCTTATTGGAGACATTATTCTGGGATTATCTGGGTGGGCTTTGATGAATAGTGAGGCAGCAGTGTCAGAGATGTGACGATGGAGGTAGCAGTTGGAATGACATGAAGCCAAAAGCCAAGGAACGCACTGTCTTCTAGAAGCTGGAACAGGCAAGGAGATGGAAGGCCCCACTTAGAGCCTCAGTGGGAATGCCCCACTGCTGACCCATTTTAGGTTTCTGAACTGGAAGGTAATAAATTCGTATTTTCAGGCACTACATGTGCAGTAGTTACTGCAGCAATAGGAAACTAAGTTGCTTTATCACCCAGGCCCCTGGACAGGCTGGGTGCCCCCACCCTAAGCCCGCCTACCCCGACGTCAGTGAGTTTTGTTGTAGGCTTGAGGCTTTGGCTCAACCACCCCAGCTTCAGAAGCCCGAACTCGCAAAATGTCAGCCCTGGGAAGGCTGCCACAGGTGCTGACCAGAACCCCTGACCCTAAAACTTCCAATCTGCAGAGGAGGGAGACAGAGGCTTCAAAGCTCTGAAACCCCCAAAGGGCCAGAATGACTATGCCCGGGGGGGTGGTTTCGGGGGTACGGGGAGTTGCTGGTTAGTGGCGCTGGCTGAGGGGCTGAAGGCTGTGGGCTTAACCCCTAATAACCCCTAATGGGGTAGGTGACCTCACATGGACAAGAGTCCCCCAAGGTCACAGGCTGTTCCCTCGCCCCCAGATCAGGCCAAACTTGGGGGGACAGAAGAGAGGTAACAGCAGCAGCACTGCCAGCAAAACCACTGAAGGGCCTGGTCCACATGCGGTGCCCTGCAGGGTGGCGCTGGAGAGGGTCCCCTTTCACACCTGACGCTGGGGAAGCCTGGATATCGGAGCTGGAAGCCCACGTCGAGGCCAAGATGGCCCGGGGTTTTCGGGACACTCAGACATGGTGGGATGGAGCCCTTCAGCTAAACGAAAGCTCTAGGGGCCACTTTGTGACCGTCGAGGCTTTTGAAGCTCCAGGAGAGGTGGGGGAGCCCCCATCTGAGCAAGCACAGCTCAGGTGCTGTTGTGGGAACTTTTGCTAGTTATTGGACACCTTGCCAGCTTAGAGATGAAGGGGAAATGAGACTTCAGGGTGCCTCCCGAACCCAGGACCCAGGTGACAGCCCAGCCTCAGGTAGGGACTGGCCACAGGCCCCAGGAAGCCCTGGATAAGCAGTGAGTCTGCCCTCTATCTTAGCCCTGCTGTGTGGGGGCTTCACTCCTCTCCCGGGCCTAGCTTTCTCTGGTCATGACCCCCATGGTGGGAAAGGCCAACTCCACATGCCCTAGTGTTTTCCTCTAACAAGAGGCCAGTCCCTGTTCCACGTTTGCAGGACCTACTTGGCCCAGCCTGGCCTGGTCTGACGTGGTGATGCCTACCAGTCAGTGGATGAGGCTTGTGGCACTGGTCAGGCTGGGTGGGACAGATGACCCCAAAAGTGGCCTTATGAGGGATACCTCAGTTCATCATCAACTTTATCTCTGAGATTGGGATGCAGCTTACAACCGATCTCACTTCAGAATTAATGGTGTCCTAGCTACCATTGGCCAGGTGGCAGTCATGACCTCCAGTCATGGCCTGCTCTTTAGAAGTAGGAAAGTGAACCCTGGTTTTGTCTCAGATATCCATTAACACCTTCTGGTAAGATCAAGCACCAGGATCAAAGCCTGCAGAATGGGTATACAGAAAGACAATCTGGAGGTCCTAGCAGAGCTCTCTCATCAAAAGCTGTGCTATTAAATGCTATGGATTAAAATGGTGTATGGAAAATGTACTTCAAGACTCTGGCAAGGAATTCAGAGGAGCTGGACCCTGCATTTGAGGAAGTTTTAGCAAATTTGTTTTGCTCATCTCTGCACAAGAGTGATAAATGATAAAAATGTTTAAAGACTAAAAGCGTTTTCGATAACTACATTGTTGTTGTTTAGTCTCTAAGTCGTGTCTGACTCTGCAACCCCATGAACTGTAGCCCGCCAGGCTCCTCGGTCTATGGGGTTTCCCAGGCTGGAGTGGGTTGTCATTTCCTTCTCCAGGGGAATCTTCCTGACTCAGAGATGGAACCCACGTCTCCTGTATTGGCAGGCAAATTCTTTTTTTTTTTTAAATAGATATTTGAAATACAACTTTTTCCTGCTTCTAAACAAGGAACGAGAGTGACAGTAACACAAGATTCCACCTCTCAGTATTGTCCTGTGACTATAGCAGTCTTATATTTGAAACTCAAGGAGGAAGCAACTGTATTCCAAAAACACCTAATGTACAGGTCCGAAAAATGAAGGTGTTTTTTAACTGCCACATTCACTCCGAAGCCCATCCATTTCCCTCAGCATCCAAAGATTAAGCACATGTTCTGCTTAGACATATAATAAAGTGGCGAACACGCACCACTGACATCACAGGACGTTGCCTGTAAAACTAGACTTCTGACGCTGGGCTCAGCTTTGGTTTCTCACAGGTCATCGTTTTCATCCAGGAAAGAAGTTGTCTGAGCAACCTCTAGACTGTGCACTGCCAAGGCTGGGTCCATGACTACCTCTGGTGGGTGAGAGCAGGCACAGTGACAAACTCCACGTTAGGGCCTCCGATCAGCTTTCTAGCAAGCCAGAGGGAGGGCCTTTCAAAGCTTTTCTGCCTACTTTTGGCAGAAATGTCACAGTACCTAAGATTCTCCTTTTGGTGGAAGGCAATTGACTTTGCCTAAATCTTTCTGTCCTTACTATCTAGTTTGTTGCTAC